GATTCATTGATACAAGACAAATCTAGGAAGAAGCTTGTTCTTACTGGAGCAGCACGGTTCAACTCTAAACCAAAAATTGGCGTCGCATTTCTTGAGGAGAACAAGCTCATCTACTCCGACCTCTCCCCAGAGGTATCACGAACGCGCAGTCTTGCTATCTTCTTGAAGAGCTGCACGCGTTTGGATAAGCGACTGTTAGGAGACTATATCTCAAAGCCAGATAATTTGGAACTCTTGAAAGAGTTTATTGGGCTGTTCGACTTCAAAGATGTATGGTGATTCCCATCTATAATGTTCGTCGCACTGATGAGCAATTATGTTGCGTAGAAACCAATTGCAGACGCCATGCGCGAGATGCTGGAAACCTTCCGACTTCCTGGAGAATCTCAGCAGATCGCTCGGATTACAGAAACTTTTGCCTCAATCTACTTTGCATCTGGTCCAGGTAGAGCCCTGAAATCGAAAGTATGCGACTGTTTGTTCATTAAATCACAGCGGAAATCAAGACGGAAGATGCGGTCTATGTATTGGCGTACTCCGTGATCATGCTCAACACTGATCAGCACAACCCGCAAATACGAGTCAGGCCTTTGCACTTCTTATGCGCTTTCTTTATCTTACAAAACAACAGAAACGCATGTCGATAGAGGATTACCAGCGCAACCTGAGAGGTGTCAATGATGGTACTAACTTCTCGCCCGAGTTCTTGGTGGGTGGCTTTCTGCTGTTGAAGATCTATGGTGCTCACTCCCAGCAGCAAAGCGTTTACGATTCCATACGCAAACGTGAAATTGTCATGCCTGAAGAGCATACTGGCCAACTCGGCTTCGAGTACGCCTGGAAAGAACTGCTCACCCGTTCACGACAATCGGGTAAGTCGATTGTGCAGAAATTGTGGTTGTAGACATAACTAGATCTCCCATAGGTCCGTTCTTGATGTGCAATTCGGCATTGTTTGATCTTGACATGTTCAAGACCATTTGGAAACCATTGATATCTGCCATTGCTTACGCATTCATCAGCTTTGACGATGATTATGTTATTCAACGGGCTATTTCTGGTTTCCGTCAATGCGCCACGCTAGCAGGTCATTTCCACCTTCCAGATGTTTTCGATTTCGTGGTCGTTTCGCTCTCGCAGGCGACTAGTTTATTATCTGAGAATCTGCCGACACAAGTTCCTAATTATCCAGTGGTCGAAGTGGAGGGGCAGTCGGTCACAGTCTCATCGTTATCGGTCAAGTTTGGTACGAACTTCAAAGGCCAGCTGGCAGCCGTCGTGCTTTTCAATATCGTGAATGGAAACGGAAATGCCCTGCGCGAGGGCTGGACGCAAGTAAGTTGACGCGACAGGCAAGTATTTCCTTTGCTAAATCTGAAATACAGATTTTTGAAATGTTCCAAAACCTGTTTATGCATTCACTACTCCCCACACGCATGCTCCAGATGGAGGACTTCTTGGGCGGTGTCACGATGATCCCCCTTCGCGGCGGCCAGCACTCGCGACCGGCGCCACGAAGTGATGGGGGTTTGTTGTCGACGCTATCCTCGTACCTTATGACACCATACGGTGCTAGCTCAGAGAATCTCGTTCCTGAAGCTACGGATACAGAAGTAGAAAGCACGATGTGCACTATCGATTGCATAACATCATGTCGGTTGGATGAGCTTTATGCGCAGACTATGTGAGTCTCATTCAACTAATGGGCTTCCTTTTCTCAAAAATTTGTCAGACAACTTGACTCGGAGGCGCTCGTGGCTGCAATCCGAGCATTGGAGGCTCTTGCTCATGAACGGACAATCACGAAGTGGAAGCAAGAGTCCGATGAACTGACCACCGCATTCAATACATCATCCGCAGGAGATGGCACATTTACTTTACCTTATGATCCTGCTTCCGTTTTTCTTCTCGAGACTATGGTCAGCATAACTTGTCAAACCTCGCGGTACATCGAGGACTTATGGCACGTATCTTCATCTTTATCGAAGATCATTTCTAATTTCTACTTAGGCCAATTCTATTTGAGCATCTGTCGGCATTGTTATCGGCATCTACACACTATAGCGTTCTACTTATTGAGCGTGCGGTCGTTGCATTGCTTCGATTGTGTCAAAAGGCAAGTCACTTATCCTTATCTCCACATAGGCCTATGTAACTGAATAGCCCATGTAGAAAACACTTCGAGATCAAGTTTACGTGTCGCTCGATTTGATCGCCGGGCTTCCCCCAATAGTAGCCAATTCCGTTGCCGAACAAATTGTCGCAGGCGTGACTTTGATTCTTCAAAATCGTGATATCGTTAGGTACCATCAATATTATCATACCTGCTTATCTATCGCTCACAGATGCCAACAGCTCGCAAACCGAGTGGAACCTTGTCTTCGCAGCCCTTCGGTCAACGACTTCCCATCCAGAGGCTGCTCGTTCAACATTCGACTTGGTTTTGAGTTTTGTCACAGATGGACAGTCGCAGTGGATGACACCGGATAACTTCAATGGTCTGATCACAATCTTGGATGAGTTTGCAAACTCCGCCGGTCAGTCAATCATGGTTCCTCAGAAGGGACGACGAGTACCTTCGCAGCCACCACCCAAGTAAGCAATTTTTCCCTATCATAATCTGCTTACTGATCTTTATCCAGCGCGCCGCCGATCGAGCGCGGGAGGCGATCGATCGATATCATTTATGATATGAAAAGGTTCATCGCACCTTTTGCTGAGTCTGCTAGTCTGCAAACGGGTCAAGGTACGTGAGCGCTCGCAATCACAAGTCATTCTTGACAGTTGCCACGCAATGCAGTCTGGCGCCAATACTGCCTGCCTTTGGCGTTGTCGTTAGGCAAGCAGTCGACAAATCCCTCACGACTTGTTCGGCACACTGCTATCAGTCAACTTCAACGTCTGTTGCTTGGCCCTCGATTTGTGTATGACGAAAACGACCATGGTCAAGTCGAGGAGATCTTCAATAGTATCATCTTCCCCCTTGTTGATGAACTCCTAAAACCCCAAGTACAACAATTCGATCCACAGGGCATATCAGAGACTAGGTTGCGAGCCTCAGCCTTGCTTTGTAAGGCATTTATGCACTTTGAGGTCCGGGAGGATCGCACGAAGTCAGACATCAGAATCTTGTGGATCGAGATTCTGGATCTGCTAGACAGGCTTATCAATGCCGGGAAGACCGAGCAGCTGGTAGGCCTTCATTGATGTTTCACATGTCGTTTGGTTCTAATGATCCTAGTACGAGGCCGTCTCGGAATCTCTCAAGAACGTGGTTCTTGTGATGAATGCAGCAAACATTCTTGTCCCACCTTCCCAGGAAGACCAACGTGACGAACATCAACGTACCTTATGGACAGCCACGCAAGCCAGGCTAGAACGTTTTCTGCCAGGATTTCTGACAGAAGTGATACCGACTCCACAATTGCAGTTGCCGCCCCCAACGCCCGTTCCAAGTTCAACCTCTGCAGTTCCTGCTACGGCACCTTCTACAGCGTAGGGCACATTTACATATACACAAGATTGTTGCTGCTAGAGTGATTTAATCAAAACAAGACAAAAATTGGTTGAGAACATCAGAAGAATTTCATTTTTGATGTTCTGCGATGTTGGTCGTTAAAATGCACGGATGCCTTACACGATAGATCTACTAACCTGACACGCGCATAGATAGCTAGAATTGCAACTATCGGCGCAACAGTATACCCGACAAACCGCACTACTGGCGGGCTATGGGAGGTCGCCCAAGTAGACCACGCGCCTCCAAGGTAAGCAGTCATCAAGAGAAGGGGGAATAAGACATAGCCGGACAGCCTGCGAAACGTGTTAGCAATCATCGCTGGCATTCCCCTGACTGCCCACGTTACCTGTGGTATTTCCATAACATCTTGGCCTTCATACCGCCTCCAAACGCTGCACCTCCATACCACACGCTTCCTCCGCCAAGGATCACTTGTCCCACAAGCCACCCGACGGAAATAAGTCCGAGGGTCTGTGTCAAGGTAGTCAGAGAATTCAGAAATAGAATAGAAACAAGAGTCTACCCCATGCCACGTCGCGAAATGTCCATGTCCTTCACTGAATTTGTGGATCTCGATCGCTAGGGTTCCCAAGGCGATACAAGGGAAGCCAACGGCAAGCATCGTTTTCTGATGTCGTTGAAAACCAGCTGCTTTAGTTTTGGGGTGCGCAGTTGGTTGGAGTGTCAGGATCCCTGTAGACGAGTACTCAAGTGAGCTTATGCTTTGAATGCCAACGGCCGAATACGCACCATAGGTGAAGCAGCCGATACCTAAGCTCTGTAGAAGCGGGTGGACGGGGAACCACCCCGCCGGTGTAGGGTTGTTGGTGAACACGATGAACCAAGTGACGCATACGAAGATCTTCCAAAGGAAACGTCCACTCAGGGGTCAACTCCTCACACGATATAGGTTATTCGCCTCACCAGCATGGAAGCCTGTCATGACGCAAGAATGAGTAAAGATGACGGGGAAGCACACGAGGGCATGCACGCACGAGTGCTCCATAAGCAGCGAGTTTATCCCCCCGGCGTTCCTCGGATTTGTTAGCGCTGTCAGAGCCCATGGTTGGTGTCGGGAAAGGCAGATGCTCCGCTGAGGTTTCTGGTTCACCGCTGGTGTCCAGGAGTCTGTACTGTTCTTCAGATTCTGTCAGTTCGTCGGACGTATGCTCTGGCATGATGGAGGGACGGTGGTGAAACGCGCAGTTTCTACTATGTAGTATGTGGACACTTACTAAAAGTGTGACGTTGGATGTCGCAACCAATTCCAGTGCATTGGCAATACTAGGCTTAGTACTAGTCCGGTAGTGCCACGTAACTAGTGCAGTTGGCGCCAATGAGTCGCAAGCACACCCGAAGACCAAATCATTGTGTGTGCAATTGCAAGTAGTACTTACCGAATTATGTAAAAGTCTTAAACAGCCTAGTCATAACTCACTGATCTAAGAACGATGTAAAATTTAAACGATCACTCATGACAAAACTGAAAAACTTCGATGAAATTATAACACGACATTATTCCATTATTGACCACAATATTAGTGAGTACGTATAGCAAACAAGCAAGATACAACAAATATGGACAGTGACATGATGAGCGATCACGGTGCGTAGAGAACATGAATACGACTATAGAATGCAGGAGAGAAGGTTAACAACAAAAAACATTCCAGGCTATAATCACAACAAAGCAATTTATCAAATAAATGCACACACCGACGGTCGTTCATGAAATAATTTAACGGCCTTCAAGTGCTGGCCAAGAGCCCTCCGCTTTCCACTTATCCACCACTTCGCGGAGCGCGTCGTGCGTGAACTGTGGACGTACGAGCTTGTATCCGATGACTTTCTTGATTTTGCTGTTGTTATAGGAAAGTTTGCGCCGTGATAGGGCCCAGTGGTCCATATAGGCATCGAGTGGGGTCTGTACAATCGGAGGATTGGATGTCTGAAGCATTTCAGTCCAGGTACCAACGTGGTGCTCGTTGATTTCTTCGACAACGTCGTCGAGTTTGAGCTTCGAAGAGTCAATAAAGCTTTGATAATGTAGTGTAACACAAGCGCACCTTTGCCATGGCATTTTCAAAGAATGAGTAAAACTCAAACGTCGTGCCGAAAAATTCTGTGATCATTGACCCTCCCTTAGCCATAGTCATCTCTGAGTCGTCAACCTGCGTAAAACATGAGAAAATGTAAACCACCAAGTTAGACCTTACGTACCAAGTTAAAGACAGGTGCTACGGGTTGCGCATCAGGTATGCACGTGCCCTCGGTATCCTTGACCTTGGTTCTGTCATTATGAAAATAGATTTTCTCTCCCGCAGTTAAATTTGCCTGCTGACGGCCAAGTGAGGCTATCCACTTGGCACATGCCCATAAACCGCCTGAAACATCATCTATGTGTACTGTGTTGACGCCATCTTTTCCCGGGCCCCATCTGAAACGGAGATGAGAGGGTTTTGAGCGGAGGAAGAGGTCTAGACTCACGGTGTTTTCATCGGTTTATTCATGTAACCGTAGATGGACGCAACGGTGATCACTAGTGGATCTATCAAGAACGTTAATCTCGTGTCATGAAAAAAAAGCGAGGAAGATAAATTTACAGAGTCCGAACTCGACGTAAGGGCCATATACAAATCCAATTCGCAGGACGACAAGAGGAAGGCTGGATAGCAAGTCAGAAATAACACATTAGGTAAGAAGAATTCAAGAACCTACTCATCAATAGAAGCTAGCATTCGAAGAGTTTCATGCCACCAGACATCTAATGGTCGCACAGGCTTGACATCTTCCTTCTCGTCATGCGGACCCTTGTCTGAGGTTTCATACACGGGTTGCTGTAGTCGTACGTAAGCATTGACTTTTCTACGGGCAGCCTCCAGACCGATGATGCGAGCGACGTTGAAAGTCAATTTGATGGCAATCTAGAATGGAGATGAGAAGATTGGTCTATTTTAAAAGTAGAAACAAGTCGTACAACTTCACTGCGGTCATGATTGATCTCACCGGTGAGATCGAAGACGTATGAGTAGGGTGCCTTGCCTGGCGGGGGATCGAAGGCAGACGCTACCACAGCTTGAAAGAGATAATGAATAATGCAGTGAAACGTAAAATGAGTACATACAAGGAATGGTTAGATTAGCTTGCCGATATTCAACATCGGGTTGAGCCAGGACCTTTGGGAACTCTGCGCCCAGATATCTAAGGAATTGCCGATCAAAACGAGAGGGACGAAAATGTAATAAAATTTACACACGTTGTGGGCGGATTAACGGAGAATCTATCAACGATACGAAGGTGCTATTATGGATAGATGGAACCGGTGAGTGAGATGAACTATCGATGAGAACCAATCTGAGAGATCTGACATACCGAAACGAGTCTCTCCCCCTCAGGTGGGACAAGTAATGCTGCTAGTGCTCGTGAACATGTATTTAGACCACCTGTACAAGTGAATTTGAAAAAAGTAATTGTGAGCGGCTTGGGACCATGGGCAGTAGTGATAGCAGTTACCGAAAATGATAGCACTCGGCTTTGAAGACATGTAGTGGACGCTGCTGATGAGGGAGAGGAGAGGGAGAGTGTGGCGTGGAGGGATGATTAGTTTCACTGACAGCGATTTCGAGATTAGGGTGATTTATATGCCAAAGTTTTATACCATGTTATTACTGTACCCGACCGCGTCGCGGAGGCAACCTCGAGAGAAAGAAGTTCCCTTGCTCTATTACGTAATATATAAACTTTCATCCGATGAACCATAAATTTAAAAAAGGAACCGCTCCCCAGAATTTTTTAGTCATCATCCAACTAGCACTCTTACTTGCTTAGTAGCCGTTACCAACTACTATTAGTAGCATTATCCACATGCACCTGCACCGCAAAACTACTTCCTCACCGACATTTTCGCGGAAGAATAACGTAAATTACAGCAGGTACCCGTACCTGACCATCTAGGCCTACACGTTCTTCACAGAAAAACATAAGTATATGTTTTTGGACAATTTATCTAAATAATCAGGGTCACTAAACTACGCCGCGATCGATCAGTGACTCGGCGAGCCCACGGTCGGAGCAATTTTCACGTCAAAACCACCCTATCTTATGTACAACCATGAATGATTCCGTAATTTCGTTGCCGCCGGACAGTACTGACTAATAGGACATTATGGGAGCTTGTAGGCACAAGTAAAACCCTCAGGCGCGCCCAAACGTTTATTATTTACTTTCTGCGCGGAACGGATATATTCAACGCTATCTGTAAGTCCGAGTCCGTGTGGTCCCTTTAATCTTCTCGTCCCATTTGTTCCAGGCGCTCGTACACAGAAGAGAAGTCCTTTTGTGCCAGATCCGGTCGATGCCTCAACGTCTCGGCATAGAAATTCTGTGCAGATTTCCCTAGTGGCAATGGGCTGTCGGTAGAGGCCGCGACATCAGTCGCGAGAAGCATATCCTATACGACATTCAGGAAGCACATCTTCGCCGCCGGAAGTCTAACTTGCCTTTAACATCAAAGCAGTCGCAAATCCGCCCTCATAATTACGTTCGCATGGAGGAGATTTGTCGGCAAGCGAATACGGTACCGGATTGTTGACTGACGAAGCCCAGCAACCGCCGGTAGAACTGTTGATCACCCCTGCAAGTATGCGCGGATCCAGACCCAGCTTCTGTCCGAGCAACATTGCTTCCCCGACGACAATCTGTTGCACTCCAAGAACAAGGTTGTTACATATTTTCGCGCCAAGACCAGCGCCCGATGGTCCACAATGGATAATGCGAGCGCCCATGTGGGTGAGGATCGGCTGCGACAGCGCAAAAGCACCCTCGGTTCCGCCAACAAGAAAAGCCAGCGTGCCCGCTTTGGCACCTGTGACGCCTATTTGGATAAAGTTAATATTATCGTACGTGTAAGCAGGGGTGCGGGGGCAATGAATAACAATAGCACGTACCACCCGATACGGGTGCGTCCACCATTTGCGCCCCTGCAGACGTCACCTCCGCCGCAACGCTTCGGGCAATTCCAACATCTAGCGTTGTAGAGTCGATGAAAAGAGAGCGCGCCAACTCCGCGGCGCTCAGAGACTGCAACGCAGGGATGACCCCGTTTGCTTCAGAATAAACGGTCTGGACCTGAGGCGAGGATGGAAGCATCGTCAATACTGTTTGAGAAGCATGCACTGCCCTAGATTCCAAGTGGCGATGTCGTAAAGGGGAAGCTACGCGGTTCGAATGTAGGAATGGGCTTACTCTTTGGGAGTGAGCACAATGTCGATGTGTGCCCCAGGAAACTGGGCCATAAAATTCTGACGGAAGGTAATCGCACTGGTTGGGAGCGCGTCGCACACGACAAAGCGGGTATCAGGTGATTCTGCGAATGTCTTTGAGAAGAAGTTGAAGGCCATCTCTGAGCCCATTCGACCAAGACCAATGAATGCAGTGCTCTTGGCACGCATAGCTTGTCGCTCAAGCGACTGAAAGACTCTGGCAGTATGTCTCATGGTGAAATTTGTCAGAGCTACGTTCGGGAGAGAAGTGCAGTAGTCAAGCTAGTCAAGGTCCGACTTACCCTCGTGATCATTTCAAATCATGCGGGGAAGCGTGCCGGATTAAGCGCGTGACTGTCACGTGCCGAGCTATTATTATGTCAGCTACACGTCCGTCGTCTTGCTTAGTACTTCGTGAATCGTCTGGCACTGGTCTGGGTTATTATTACGGTCCTCTGGGACAATAACTGACGTGGATTTACAAATTCAAGATGCTTGCAGCTGCGACTTCGTTTTTCTCCAGAACAGCCATATCTCAGTCGTATAATATTGCCTCGTCATATGGCAGCAGGCCCTCCACCCCAGGTCCACCGGGATCTTCGAACTCGCTTCCATCTCCAGTGTTGCCATCCGTTAAAGTTGGTCTCTGGAGAGTTCAGGGTGCATCCCATAAAGTCACGAACAAGAAGGTTTCCGTATGGACCCTTGACAAACGCGCTGAAATGGAAGGACTGGGTCCTATATCCAGGGAGCGAGTTTTGGAGGTTTTGAAGGCAGAGGTATATTTACAACGTCAATTAACCCACCGCTTTCTGCTCAGTCGTCGTTCTTTAGGCGGCAGCACTAAGCAAACTGCGCCATCCTTCTATCTTGGGTAGGGCATACAAAACCCTCCCCACGTACGCATTTTTGAGCTTACCATTCACAAAGAAATGGTTGAACCCCTTGAAGAAACCAGGACCGAACTGATATTTGCAACGGAACCGGTGCTTTCGTCACTTGATCTTTCGATACCACGTGGGTCTCGCCATACGCCTCTAGTTGAGTTAGACGAAATCGAAGTCCGTCTGCTTCTTTTGATGCGGAACGCCGTTAATAAGTTTGACTCCATCCAGATTCAGAAAGGCATACTGCAGCTGTGCAAAGGCTTATCCTTTCTGCACACTTCTGCGAGATTGATTCACACCAATTTGAAACCTGAATGTGTGATCATCAACGACGTCGTAAGTGTTTTCCATTCCTGATGGCCATCCATGTGGCTACATTCTAGTCGCCGCTTTTTAGGGTGATTGGAAAATTTCTGGCCTCGGCCTTACCATCCCCCTCCTTGGTGCGGATGGATCTCCGACCCGTTGGGAATTTCCTGGTTTTGATGGTCGCGTGCCATCATACATTCAGCGTTCTTTTGATTATATCGGTGCGTGCAACGCTGCTATCACAACATGTGCCATCTGACCAATTTCCACGGATCGACAGCTCCGGAATACGCATTGGATGAAGTCCTCATCACTGCATCAGATATGTATTCCCTCGGTTGTCTGATATATGCCGTACATTGTAAAGGCAGTCCGCCGTTCAGAAACCATGGAAATGTAGGCGGCCTTAGGGACAAGTGCTGGTCGTCCCGTCCCGGACATCGGGCAGCTCGACGCAGATTTGCAAGGTTCTTCTACTTCGCTTGAGCTTATTATAGAATCATTGAGGCACAACTCTATGTAGACCTCCTTCGATCGCTCATTACTCGCGGTTCGAGTAGCCGACCGACTCCATCGACGCTCCCTTCGCATCCATTCTTCTCCTCACTACCGATCTCCACACTTAACTTCCTAGATCGCTCGAACTTCACTGCAAAGACGCGAGAGGAGAAAATTTCATTCATGCGTGGCCTAACAGGGGTTTTGGATCGCTTCTCAGAAGGTCTACGCACACGGAAAATCTTACCATCCTTACTTGAGGAGGTACGTGTCCTGTTCCTGTTTCCAATTCAAGCTGCAGACCTGACGGAACGCCGTTTCGTTGGCAGATGAAAGACACGCATTTACTTCCGTATATCCTTCCGAATGTATTTGCCATTTCCAACGTTCTTTCTGCGCCGCAGTTCGCTTCGCTTGTTCTGCCTAGTCTTAAGCCCCTGTTCACCGTCAAGGACCCGCCACAGAATATGCTGACGCTTCTGGACAATCTCCACATGTTGCAGAGTAAAACTGAAAAGGGTGTTTTTCGCGAACGTGAGCAACCGAATCGGCATTACATCTCACACGGTTTACATTATTTTCAGAGGTTCTCCCACTTGTGTATCATGCGCTGGAGTCTGAGCATGCTATGGTGAGTTTGTCAATAAATGACATGTCATAGCATGATCCGATTACGTACAGGTACAAGAGCGTGCCCTAAAGGTGGTTCCAGATCTTTGTGAGACAATTGATTACGCCGAGGTTTCCAGCGTACTGTTCCCTCGAGTGGCCGTGAGTTGCAAACGCGTCGTTCATGAAAAACGCTGAATCTTGCATTGTGCAGTTGGTGTTTACAAAAACCAGAATATTAACTGTAAAGGTCGCTACGCTGGTAACGTTCCTTAGCTTGGTAAAAACCCTTGATCAGGTTTGCGTCACCTTAATATTTTTTATTAGACGCTCACATCTCCAATGTAGACAAATCTCACGCAAAAACTCGTACCACTGTTGTCAAAAATTCGTACGAAGGAGCCCGCTGTTATGGTAAGGTATATATGTTCTTGCCATGGCTCTCATTGTCTGACAGTGTTTAGATGGCAACTCTTGCGGTACAAGAGGCTATGGGTGTTAAGGTTGACAGAGAAGCTGTGGCTACCCTCATCCTACCGCAATTGTGGACAATGTCAATGGGTCCTTGTGTGTAGCATCCCTTGTTTCGCGGTGGTTTGAACTGAGAGCAATTATAGTATTGAACATTGAACAATATCAACGCTTCATGAGCGTTATCCGTAGGCTCGGTGACCGCGTGGAAAAGGAACACAATCAGTTCCTCCGCGACTCGCAAAGGATTGAGGATCGCTCAGCAACGAACACCAATGGTGTCACGTCGCCTGCCTTCCGATCCGGTGTCGATTTTGAAAGTTTGGTGGGGCGTGCAAACGGTGCTACTGTGAAGCCGGACACGGTGATCGACGGAGATAGCTCAAAGGGATGGGATGATGACGTGTGGGGGACCATCTTCAGCGGCACGCCTGAGGTAACTTGTTGATATTTGTTGACAACACTCACGCTGATCGTCCCCATCAGCCATCACAGAGTCCACCTCCAGGCCCTGCTGTTTCTACCATACAACCATCAGTTGCTCTATCAAGTCAGGCACATTCACTACCCTCGTCACCACGGATATCAACGATGCCATTAGTGTCTCGGCCGTCACGATTAGGTGCTAAGCCTGTTCCATCTACCACCTTTGATCCATCTGCTTTCACATCACCTACACTACATCCCAGTCAGCCAATTCGTATCTCATCTCCACCAGCACAACCACAGCGACTTGCGAGTTTCGCTATGCCACCGCCCCCAGTACCACCTGCACAAAAACACAATTACAATATCTCGTTATCCGACTTCGCCGCTATGTCTCCGAGCACGATTCCTTCCGTGCCGAACTATATTCCATCGGGCCATACCACATTGCAGCCTACTTCTACATTTTCGATGTCATCACCTCCTCTACACGCATCACCACTTTCGATGGGGAGCATACTAGCACCTACTCGACCGACAACTACCACAAGGCCAATCTCAAAGGACGACTGGGGAGACTTCGATCCTCTCAAGTGAAGCGAAGTCGATTGCGTATACGCACGCTGGATGCCATTGTCGGCACTGGAGTTCCTGCGATTAGGCCCTCCACGTTGTTTGTCATCGCCTCTGCGCTGGTATCTAGAGTTCCCATCTTAGCTATCTCATATAACTACGCACGTGGTCGGAATTTTAGCAAACTGCACGATCGTTAATTTCCAGATCCTCAAGTTCAGCGTCTGATGGATTAACTCACATTTCTTCTTTCTAATCCCTGTGACTTGTAGCGTAGGCCGGTTTACTTCCGAGACCTATTGTTTGACTCGAAGCTCCGTCGCCACTCTCGACTCTCCATGACGTCGTCCCTCGATCATGCGGGAAGCAGTATGAGCCTGTATGACTGAAGATCCCACTGTGGATCACTGTATACAGAAAACATCCATTTGTTTAAAACTCTACTAGTCTACTACGTACACTAGATCGGCGTTCGGTTTACCGACCTTGCCTTGACATAATTAGAGTCCCCGGTTGCAAGGGCTCTTGCGATCGGCTTCCCATCTTCCTGGTAAGACTAGTCAAGATGGAGTCATCTAAAAGTCGGAGAACATCATAATAGAATCCCATGGTACTAGCAGAACCCAAAATTAAAGAAGACTAATTTATGTTTAATTGATGAACACAAAACAACAAGCGAATCGAGGGCTGGCGCTAGCGCCGTTACAATATTATGCTGGCGCATTGGAACTTAATTAAGCCGGTTCCACTTGGACGCCGTCCAATGGTCGAATATACGTCGCTTCAACAATAGTCTCGGATCCTTGCGAACCGAATTGTGTAGCAACACTGTCGGCATCGATGTCAAGGTTCAATAATGCCTTCAAAATCAGGAGCGCCCCCATCTTTGAGGCAACGTCATTTCCTTCCGAACAAGTAGCGCTGTGAATGCCTGTGAAGATGATCAGTAACGAGAATGAATCTTGAAAAATATATTTGCATTTGTCACAACCATCCTTGCATGGACAGGTTTCCACCGTGTCGTGTGCCTGTCGCAAAATTTCGCCGCCTGCGAAATCACTATGAGAACTAAGGCGAGTCATGGAGACAGCATGCTCACTGTGATCAAATGCCTGGGCAGACACGCTACCTTTCCGAGATGCATCATACAATATCAGCCTATTCTCTGACGTAAGTGAACTGATGGTACTTGGTAATGAGCAAGCAGATATACCTAGCGGGACGCTTCCGCTGTGACTCCTCTTTATTATATTCTTTCTCTGCTGCCTTACATTCTGTCCGCAAGTCGGGAGAAAGAGCAAAACGATTCATCCATGCATGCGATGCAGAATGGATGGCTTCCGCAAGGTTGAAATGCTTTTCCTTCAGTAATCCAAGTAAATCTTTGGGCACATCGAACCAGAATCCGGTGACTTGTCTTTCGTACGGCGGCGTATCAACGTCGACGATATCGAGTACCTTGTTACCCCTAAATAGCGACTTCGAGATCGACAGAATATCAGCCAACGTCCACACGCACCTAATTTTCCTGAAGCCTGCGGAATACAATATCAAGCAATGAGCTTTTCACCTCATGGGATTGAACGTACCAAATACAACAGTCGTCACATCGACCCCTGTGCGGGCAATGAACATTGTTATTGTCCCTGAGATGATCTACTCACGTCCGAAATATGCTCTATGTGGCGACCTCGCAATCTCTTTGATTCGATGCGTTTGCATGGCATCCACATTCCTGTTGGTCCAGTCAAGGTGGTGAATTATATAACGAGGAAGTACTTGCGTGTAGTCTCTGCAATGTGCTTTTATGAATTGTTATGGCGGAAAATGGGATATGAACGCACCTTGGCTTAGTGATCCAGTTGACATCTGCCCTCACAAGTCTAGCTACTTTTGTATCATGACTGACTTCTTTAACCTATGCGACAGTCAGGGGTGGCTGTAATATCTAATCAGTGGTGCTTACAACAAATGTCAATCCTTGATGCATGAACTAAAGACAAGCATCAGTGTGTGATCTCAGAGAATGAGATGATTGCGCACCACTCCGCCCTCATATAGCTCGAAAATAGCCCTTGAAAGCTCAATCTCTTCTATGATTCTTGGTACTCCATTTGGTAGCCCGACTTTCGTCACATCGATAACGGTGTACTTATCGTCATCCGCGCCACGAATTGAGATATGCTTGGCTGGATAGGGGAGAAACTTGGGGTGCGGGTGATACCTATGCGAGGTTAGCAGTAGATCCAGGTATGAAGCAGAAAACTACCATCCGTCTTTGTCTTTCCGTAGCTTCGAATCGCACAATTCACCTAGCGAGGCACCGAAGTAGAAGGCATCATCCTTAGACAACGGCATTTCATGAGCAGCGCATTGCAAGTGAGCCTCGATGACTACTTTGCTCTCAATATCGACGCTCAGGTCATCCATAGGCTGATTATAGAGTTTGTCCGGGAATTTGACGTAGTTTCTATCTATAGGGAGGTCTTCAGCTACCAATACAGCCAGTGAATCGCGGGATCTCCGCCCAGCACGACCAGCCTGCTGCCGCTACAAATCCATTAGATTAGCATGGCGGTCACGAATAATTTTGAGAGGCACTGACAAAGTTGGCAATACCAAATGGAAAACCAAGCATGATGACAGCGTCCAAAACACCGATGTCTACACCAAGCTCAAGAGCATTAGTTGCAACAATACCAAGTAAGTGTCCCGAAAAAGCTTCATATTCAATGCGACGCCGATCCTGCGAGTCCCTAAGAACTATGTCGTCTAAAGTGTACAACACTGACCTCCTGAGAGTATCCTAATAATGGAATGTGATGAGTTGCAATTTATTAGATGCCCCAAACAAACACTAACCTCCTCTGTAAGGCATGACCTTCGCAAGAACGTCTAGGCGTCCCTCGGCGCTAAGTCGTTGACGCAGAGCTTTCATCGCCTTCGGTCAACATCAATCCCAGGTCCACTCAAAGTTAAGTGTCATTCTGCTCACCAGTTCGCATGCTCTTCGAAACTGAATTCTTTTAAGTTAGGCCACTGAAGCCCAATTAAGTCTGGATTATGGCACGGACCTTGCAGAATAAGATGACTCGAACACCACGTATCATTAAAAATATCATGAGGTTGATGGCCTCCCACGTTGGGCCGGATTGTCCGAGTTTTGCAATCCCAGAATCCATATCTTTAACATTGAAAGGATCCCAAACTAAGTAGTCTTTCTTTCCAGATGGAGCTCCATCCTCAACAATTTCTTCCACGTCCTGCAAGAGTTTCAGAAGAGACACAATGAGAAGCATAAGAGCATACTTCGACCCCGAACAGACGTTTCATATGCTGACTTGGCTTGGAGATGGTAGCACTGCATGACACAAAGACAACTCGCTGGTCTGACAAAGATTTGGTCAACAAAAACATGAAAGAAGCCAACTGGAACATACTGCCTACAGCTGCACAGATCCTGCGGAAACGGCGGATGATCTGAGCAACGTGACTTGGAAGTTTTCATGAGACTGGAATGAAATGGTGCACCCATAAATCTCACCTCCCAAACAAATTGGAATAGTAATGCAATTCATCAACCGCTACGAGTTTAATATTCTTTATGAAGCTTAGAACACATGTCAACGTCAGCGTCAAGTTGAAAACACACAACAGCTCACGTCCGCCAAAGCTCCTCGTGAGGTAAAATAGAGGCGTGCAGCATGTCCTTGATAGCATTGTCAACAAGCTCAACGATACTTGTTTACGCGGACGTACAAAGTTGGTGAAGATGACGGATGCCGTCTCCCGAATGGCTGGAGAAATTACTAATTGTCACGCACAGAGTGCAGCAGGCTTACTTCTCCGGTGATCTTGTGGGGTGTCTCCATCATACGTTGCTACCTTGATGTGCTGCAGTCCGGGGCAGGCACACAGTAACTGCTCCAGCGCAGTACGCTGATCCTGAGCTAAAGCCTGAAAAAAGTATCATGAAATGCGAGCATTGTTATACAATTGAGGACAAACCTTGGTGGGGTATATGAGTATGGCTGTAGCATTAGAGTTTTCTTCTAGAAACTTTAGTAAAGGAACCTGAATCCAACTTTCTTCAGTTCAAAATTTCCAGAAGCGGTTCCACAGAAAGCACCTGATATATCACACTTTTTCCGGACGCAGTACTGGTCGAAACAATGACATGCTTCCTCTGCACAATAGCGTTGATGGCGGCCGCTTGATGGTAATACAGTGATGTTATATTTCGCGACTCTCGCAACGCTTGTTGTATCGTATGCGAAAGAGGCTCAACCAGCAATCCTGCGTACATGTTATCAGAAATAAGAATTACCCACAAAGAATATTGCTACCTTCGATAGCCAGCTTCTCCTTGAATGTCCGCCGGTCGGCAATTTGATTTTTATACCATTGTTGTTTTTGGATCTCAAGTAGTATATCGTCAATAGAGGGCCGATCTTTGGGTTCCGGAATTATCAGATTTTGAGACTCGTTAGCAAGTAGGGCTTTCTTTGCGGAAGGGTTTACAGGGATGTGGTCTCTTGCTGCTGCTTGAAGCAGATCCATGGACACCTCTCCCTCTGGAGTAGCCTTCATAAGCCTATTTTAGGAGTCAACAATAGAAAAAACAATGGGCGTATGCATACTCGACGACGGCATCTTTAAAACGCTGGTTCCGTTTATCAACCAAATTACTGGTTTTGCGTCAGTATGTATTCCACTACACCCAAACAACAAGAATCACCCTGATTTGGTGGTTCTAAAGTTCTCTGCAAATTCTAGGACGAGGACGTGTTCTTCCTCTTCATGACCTGGGAGTCGATAGCCTAATGGTGTGTTAACAGCAAGAGATTGTGGGTGTAGCATGAAGTCAGGGCTGTTTGAGCGCTTATTCTGTTGAGAAACCGCCTCTCCATGTATTCGGAGGTCACTGCGAGGAATATAAGCAAACTCGACGACATCCGGGAGAAGGGCTCTGTGAAAGATGATTGTAGTTACTCTGTTGAATGATAGTCGTGTCCACTTACTTGAGTTCGGCTACTTTAGACAGTTCAAGTGGTCTGTAGTCGTATTTGCTTAACTATCACGACTTTTGGGGAGCAAACGAACCTTTTCAGAAGACCTTCGGCGGAAGAACGAATCATAGGAAATGTGGTTGCAATATGTCTGTGGGAAGATACAAATGCAAGAACTGTATTCAATGCCTAATGTCTCATATGAGCGTACCTCAGACATGCGCATACTGTAACTCGCCTTGAAGATCTGTAGTGACATGAAGACTCAAAACGAGTCGGAAGAAACAGGTTGGTTGGATTGACATACCTTGAACAACTCCAGGTTGCGTTCCACGATACTTAGCGGAAGAGTTCATGTATATAAATATTCAACTCACATCTTGGAAATACTCAGGCCATTCTGATGTTTCTTTCTCCCTGTCCTGGCTCCTAGTACTTGTCGCACTTGAAACCTTCTGCCTTTTTGATGCTCCTTTGGTGGAGCCTGCAGAACGCTTCATACTCGCAAGAGCCAGTGATACAACGTTGAACTACAAATCAAAATTGTTCAAGTCTGCCTCCTAGTCACGAGCTGAGAGAGTAAGACAAGTTTCTATCACGGCGCGTCCCTAAACGCGTGACATCACAAATTGCCTGTTGTATTTGTCACGCTCAGATTCTCCCAGTCACGCCTGCTTTTCTAGCACCAAGTTTGAAGTAAGTCGGAATCCCTACACTGAATAGTACTGACAATTCAATTGTATCAGATGTCCGCTATACCGCACACTCTCCGAGTCGTTCCAAGGATTTCTATAAAGCCGGGAAGTAAAGTTCTCCCGCCACCGCTCACAAACCAGAATGAGCGTGCATTCAAAGAGCCTCTGCTCCGGATTATGGCTCGCAGGCAACAAGAAGCGGGTGATATATGGCCACCAAATTTGCGCATAGAGCCGCATGTCACGAAGACAGCTATTGGTAAAGCGCCGAAGGAGATGCGCGTTCAGCTGAAGAGATTGTTGAAGGAACGGTGAACACGGCATGGATGTATCATGTAGTAAGTGGTACAAGTTTTTCTCCTCTCTTACATCACCTTATACACGGATCGTCATTACAGTATGCGCATACCTTTTCCGGCCTGTCAAACATGTTCAACGTTATGATTGGCTACTGTAACTTCAAATTTCATTGCTTAATGTAAATATAATCGTAGCGCTGCGGCTGACGCGCCAATTCCTGACTCCACCGGGTCTAATTTTCCTCTTTGCAATTTCTTGTTATTTTTCAACACTCGTTTGCGCCCAATTTCTAATATGACAAGACCTGCAACATCTGTCCCAGGGGCTAACCGCTTTGTCCAGGGATTTCCTGCTCTGTGAAAAGTTACACTCATGCACTTCTTCTCTTTGACCTGACGCCAATTCTCCCCAACTATGTACGGTTCAACTTTGAACCTCCCGTTATTCGTTCTTCCATGCTTGATGTTGCCAATCATCATCAAGCTGTGGGTCTTTCTCTTTTCTGCATGCTGTTGAGTGCTATCGCTGTTATATTTTACACTGCTTACTCGTAGGTTCTCTGTTCTGTGCATTGGCTTGTCCTTTCGCGCAGTATGCGACGTTCGTCTACAAAGTCCCGTGCTGCATCGCACGCGTTCTTGACGAATGTTGTTGTCCGCTGCATGCGATTTCGCCAGTTACTATAATGCACTTTATTACCCTGATTGACATCCGTTGTGCTTCGAATCCCCTGAAAACTCATGTTCTTGGTTTTCGTGATCTTTCATTGAGCACACGTGACCGTTGTTGTTCGTGCACTGAGCTGTTTGCAGGTTGTGCGGGATTTGACGGCGAGTCGATTGTGGCGACTCGAAACAAGGGGTCCTTTTCATCTTCGTGTCTTTCAGGCATCCAATTACACCCACTGCTCTGTGCTGCGTCGGCTTCTGACCGATGTTCTGATGTGGTCAGCATCTGTTTTTGCACCCATGGATCATTTTCCTGCTTGTTTCCGGCACAGCCCCGCCGTCATCACGAAATATTTGAGCGGTTTGATAGTTTCCCTTCTGACCCTTTGCGCTGCCTCTCTCTTCAGTAGTAGTGTTCGTTGCACAAAAGGCGCTAACGTTGGCGTTATCTTGCAGCACTTTCTCGACCTTCAGTGAGCGATTTGGCGCTGTGTTGGTCGTTTTGGAACAGTTGACTGATGCTCGTGTACCTCAAGACTATGTGCGCAGCTTGTTATCGGTTTTGTGTTAGCATCTTGTTGACGTGCAGAGTTCCGAAGTAGGCGCTCGTCTGCCTGCTCGGCTAGTGATCCTCCCTTCCATGTATGGATAGCAAAAATCTGTGACATTTTACATTTGCGTGATCATCTTTGCGTCGTTTAGCCCTTTTCTCGCTGTACCTATGTCTCGTTTCTTCTTATTTGCTCCTTGCTGAGGCCCGCCGATGATCTCAGACTCTTGTGACTTTCACCGGGTATGAACGCGGGAAAGCGCAATGTATCACAATAGCGTAATGCTCAGCTGTCTATCTAGTAAGTCCGCGTTCGACTCGGCGTCAACTCGCCTTCCATACTGACGCCAACACGTACTCTCTTTGTTATTTACATCAGTGAGGGATATAATTTGGGTACACTGCTGACAATTAGTTTCCCGCTTGATGCACCCTTCGATGCCTCATCCAATCATATCAGAATTTGATATTATTTTTGCTGGGGGTGAGTGATACATCTCGCATTGTAGCGATTATCTTGACGGAACGTTGTATCATGATTCAGGCGGTACCACAGCTTGTGTTGTCGCAGGCCGCCTGGCTGCATGGGATCCCTCGCTTAGTATCTTAATTCTCGAAGGAGGCCAACACACGCTCGATCAAGCTGCGCATGTGCAGCCTTACCGGTATACAAGCCATCAGGCGCCTACGAGTACCACCATGACATTCAACGTTGGAAATCCAAGTCCACGTCTCAACGGCCGTGCTCCGATCGTTCCATGTGCACATTGCATTGGTGGAGGCTCGAGTGTGAATGGTTCGTAGCGTTCTTGCACTGAATAGCATGACTTTGATACGTTGACTCGGTCAGCTATGTTTTACACTCGTGCGCCTGCCTCAGATTTTGATGACTGGGGAACCGAAGGGTGGGAATCTAAGAACTTGCTCCCCCTCATGAAGAAGGTCCTCGATTGAATCGTCTTCATATTTCTCAAGCTGAACTACTTATCGCTTAGCTGGAGACATATGAGGTGCAGCCCGATCGCCCAACCCACGGGTACAGTGGACCTATCAAAGTGTCTTCTGGTGGATACAAACTAGGTGTCAGCGAAGAGTTCATCCATGTTGGCACAACGTATCACAAGAGGCAACACGTCGAAGATACTGATGATTTAGAAACGTGTAACACATACAGTGTGCGCCTCACGAATTTCTTTCTGCGGAGTCTGCTTACGAGATCCATTTCAGCCATGGGCGAAGTGAGCTTGTGCTGTCATCTATTGTGAATTGGGCTTATAGATGAGAAGGTACATCGACGGGACAACCGGAAGACGTTCTGATGCGGCCCATCACTATGTCTACAACCAAGCTCACAATGCAAATTTGCAAATATGGGTTGGCAAGCGCGTGAAGCGCGTAATATTCCAGTGAGTATTGCACATTCAAGTTGGATCGCAACCTTGCCGATGTCTTGTTTGAATAAAAGAGATAAGCGTGCCGTAGGTGTCGAGTTCACCAGCGACCTAGTGTCTTGCCCAGATGCGGGTCAGTCATCAAGCATCGTGAGAGCATCAAAGCTTGTTGTTATTTCTGCTGGGGCATTCGGTTCGCCAGCCATCCTCGAGAGGTCTGGGATCGGCGCCGAAACCATTCTGAAGCGGTGCAATATCGAGCAGCTGGTGAACTTGCCCGGCGTTGGAGAAAATTATCGAGGTCCGTGTTCAATCATTTATTTCATGATGTCAACTTAGGGTGAAGAGATCACAACGGTGTCTTTGTTCCATACTTTGCTGCTGACGAAGCTATTACTATGGATCCCCTCTGGCTTGGGAAGGAGAACGTTGTCCAGGGTAAGCATGTTCTTGCTATATACCCGGTCCCTTTTACATAAGCGCCCGGGAAATGTTTTAGAAAACCTGGCGCAATGGAAAGTTGATGGCAAGTCACTTATTGCCCAAAAGTCGGTACAAAACCTTCAGTGCTAGTAATGTACTGATTAGCATATCAGTGGCAGCGATGCAAAAATCAAATGGCGTCCTGATGACGACGAACTGAAAGCTATGGGTTCAGCCTTTCAACCACGTTGGAAAGAGTTTTTCCAGGACCGCCCAGATAAGGCTGTTGCAATATTTGCCCTCTGTGCAGGGTATGCACATTATTTTGATTTGATATCGCACGAATGCTCACAATAACCAGAACCGCTGGGTTACGCTTGCGTATCCTTCCTCCTCGCAATTACATGGTTGCCTGCTGTTTTACAGTACTACCTCCATATCTACTACCCCGTGATTTTTGTTCTGAATTTTCCAATAGCTGTACCCCGTGTCTGCCGGCAGCCTTCATATCAAATTGGACGAGAACGGCCAGGAAGGAATTGACTTCGAAACAGGTTACCTGGATGAGTGAGTCGGCAATTTCAACTCACTGATGTGAGTTATGTGACCACGACAACTCGCACAGTCCAACCGATATTGTACCTCTTAACTTTGGGTACAAAAGGATGCGCGAAATCCTTCGACGCATGCCTTCATACAGGGGTGAAGTCCCCGCCGGCCACCCCCATTTCCCAACGGGAAGCGCCGCAGTCTGCGGAGAAACGATCGGACCAGTGGACTTGAATGCGCCTGACTTAATTTACACAGCAGAGGATGACGAGGCGATCGATCGATACCATCGTAGTCGCAGTATGTCGCATCCCTATCGTTATGTTAAAATGCTGAATTGATACTCAGTGCAAACGACATGGCATTCGGTATGTACAGCTGAAACTTTCATGCTTTCACACGAGGTACCTGAGCCTTGCATGTGTAGCTCGGAACTTGCGCCATGAAGCCGAGGGCAGATCAAGGGGTCATTGACTCTCGGCTAAACGTGTACGGCGTGACAAACCTCAAAGTTGCGGATATGTCTATTGCGCCGAAAAATGTTGGCACAGTGAGTATTAGTCGGGGATCGTTGACATGCAGTCTAACCGTCTCTCTAGAACACATATTCGACAGCGCTTCTCATTGGGGAGAAGGCTGCGATGATGATTGCTGATGACCTGGGTATTGAATGCAGACCATGCAGTGAGTTGTCGTGGAAAAGTCCTCGATCGCGTCTGTGATTAGTAGGCATCTTCGCAGGAGTGATCATGAGCATGTACTTTATGCGTGGATCATTGACACGCAATCAGCACGTATCTCAAAATCTTGAGGACAGTAATTGGATTGCAAATTCTGGTAATAGTATATTAGAGCAGCCTCAATATCAGGTGCTGCATAGCAACACGACCAAGTTGCCTGTACATATGAACTGTACCATTCACAGCCGTAGCTGGCAATTCCTGCAAAAACTTCTTGATACACCGTTGGAAACATGGCTGCCAGGTATTCGCCCACCATCTGGCATTAACAATCTACTGTCAGATGATACACTAATAACTGGTCTCAGGGAAAATATAGGTATAGGCAGCACATATGGTACCACAGTATGGCAATAATTCAATTCATGTCTACAGCAGCGACTGCAATTGACAGCCTCCCTTCTTCAAATGTCTTCTCCAGGAGCTCATTGAGTCTTGTCGTCCACTGCGCCGAGATTCCATGTCCCGTCTCTTCCCACCAATGAAACTCGGCCTCAGGCATATGACGATGTAGATGGCGACTGTTAGAACTACGTATTACGTGATCCTGGTCGCCTGTCAGGATGAGAACTTTAGGTATCGATGAGGATATCTTGCGCAACCGTGCAGGCGAGACATGGTGGGTGAGCCCCGCATACATCTGCGACAAAGCACCCAAAGGTGTTTGGGGTCGGGTGATCTTCAGACGCCGATGGTAAAACTTAATGGAAATAAGGTCAGCCACTAACGTGCCATGAACGTATCATTATACTGACAGCAGATTGAACTTCTAAGTTAGTCCGTCCTTCTGGGTCACCTTCAGCCTTCTTCTCTAGCCACGGCTGAGGGTACAGCATATCCATTACGATGGGAACCTTCACGTCAGGATCCCCCGTCATTAATAGCCTAAACATGAAAGGAATTAACATGCGGACGTGGAGGGCGCATCATATCTAACCTTGTCATCGCCGTAGAACCTTTCAACTAGAAGAACTCAGTATGGATTTCATTAGTTACAAATAAAAGACCTACAGGTGGCACATTCAGCCAGAATTGACCACCTGCTGTGGTAACAATCAAGCTCAGGGAAGTTATTCTGTCGGGTATACGATCCGCGAGCTCTTGGGATACGGTGTAGGAACCATGAATCGATTTGAAAGACAATGATAATACCTTGTGCTATCATTCCGCCCATCGAGAGGCCTACAACATGAATGCTACGTTCCTCGGTCCATCTCAGATAGTCGAGCAATACTATGACGTCCTCGGCCATGCCACTTGTTCTATAATTCGAAAGAATAAATACACATCAGCTAGAATCAAAGTAGAAACGCACGTGTATGGACCTCTTGGAGTTCCGCTCATACCCACACCACGATTGTCGAACACTAGTACCGAGTACTGGGGAAGTTTGCTGAAGTGCTCGACCTGATATAACCATCCGAAGGATGTGCTATTAACACTACAGATGTTCTAGCAAACCTGTTATAAAGCTCTCAACTACATTGGACTCACCCCATGATAAAGACGATCTTCTCGGGTCCGGTGCCGTGCTGCTCATAGTACAAAGAGTGACTCTCAAGCGGACCTTCCTGGCTGCGTATTTGTGTTACAGGACAAAGACCTCTGCGAGTGCATGTGTCTGGGTCGAAAATTGTCTGATATTCGGGGCCCAAAACCTGGTCGTGCGCTACTGACATGGTTGTTTGGAGCTAGTGTTATGACAGTACCCGTTACTTATTATTAGTTGGACTTGAGCAAAGAAAGGCCCACGAACTGAGAAGTTGCCGTATCCATGATGCTACCGTGTCCTGCCAACACAGCAGTAGCTGCTATAGTCCAGGGTTCAGAAACATTTGATCCGGGGGTAATAATTACTGGCTCAGGTATTTTGCCACATCACTGCCGCACCATGTACTAATCAAAAATCATCTTTATGGACGACGTAGACATATTATATACACATACAAGACCACTTGTTGTGTACGTATAGGCCCTAGGGTGCGCCACGGATGTGGTACGATCATCGATGCGGCAAAATCCTAGTATATAAGGACCCAATAATTACTAATGATTCTGCTTGTGCGTGTTGTAGTAGTACACGTTGCCAGACGAGTCGATCCTCACTGTCAGCCAGTAACGAGCTCTTCTTTCTACTTTGTACAAGATATATCGTCCTCACACAGCCCAAGACTTTCACGAATCTAATTTTAGCTTCCCTAATGACTCCAACGTCTATCTCTGGGGGTAAGTCGTACACTTACTACTAGATCACTTGGTCCACCCGATACTAATTAGCGCTTTCTAGCCCCAGCCGGGATGCTTGCTGTGTTCCCATTTCTCGCAGTCGCAGGGGCTTACGTGGTCATGGTTTGGTGTCTCCACGGAAATGGCCTGGTTGAAAAGATACACGCAGGATGTGGCGCGCCAGTAGAGGGGGCATCGTTCCCAACGCGTATCTCATACACCAGTATCCCCCCTCTCGATTTCAACCTCTGCGTCGTTGTTACGTTTTACCATGGCTTAATGAACACCACCTACCGACCACTTCTAATACTCATGTCCACCACGCTTGCCGCAATTGCCATCATCCCTTTCGCAGAAGCCACTCGCGAATATCACCCTAAGCGGCTCAAGATACCTGCGACTATTGGCGTGATTTACCAGATCTGTAGCTCTGCAGCGGTCATGCCGATTTATTGGTTTGCCTTCGCGCTTACTGGTGGCACGACCCGTCGCAGCGATAGAATCAATCAAGGGAACGCAGAAGCACTTTTATTTGCCCTTGTTGTTGGCTATGCTATCCCCACCGCTTGCATGGTGGTTCTTGAAGACCCAATGGTGACTGCCATATGGCAGTTCTTCCCTGTGTACATGGCAATCGCCCAGTGGGCACACTCCAAAATCCGATCCCCCTCGCATCACACTGGGTCGGGATACGGCACTGTTCAAGCCATGTACTTTCTTGTATACGTCATTTCCGCTTATTTGCACGTTGCGCACGTCTGGCCTCTTTTCAACAGTCCAACACTCGTCCAAAAGCTTATAATGCCCCCTACATCTCTTTTGGACCCGTCAAATTCTATTAGTGAAGGTGTTGCAGCGTTCCTGAAGTGGGACATAGTATTTACAGCGGGCTCGACCTTTCTGATAACGCTGTGGTTCGCCAGAAGTCTAACAGGCTTAGCGGTGCTGATTTTGTGGCATGTGTCGGCCACTTTCTTAGTGGGACCTGCAGCTGCAATCGCAGGAGTAATGATGTGGAGAGAAGCGACAATAAATGCAGAGGCCATTGTCAAGGAAGAGAAAGCTCGATGATGGTTATCGCTTGGAGACCACACTCTGTATATATATATAATCTTGAGTAGTTTTTTGAGAAAATGTTGTAGAATGCAGCAGATTTGAAAAGGCTCATGGACGGGCTCACGGCAAAGGATGTAGATGTAATTGCACGAGAACATAAGATTACTGTCCAGAAGACTGATCCGCCCGCGTTGCCATTGCTGCCTGCCCAGCGGCAGTCGCCGCCAGCCTGGACCGTTTCCTCTCGGCCTCTGATTACAGCAATCAGCGATCTTTAGCATTCAAAATCAGCATGCAGAATACATACCTGCTTCTTTCTCCCGCTCAATCTCGGCAACAATTGCTTCGATCTCAGGTAGCTCCAAGTGCTATTAAGTTTGTCAGCGACCAATGAATAACTTATAAAACAAGATGAAGTCGAACCGTGACTTTGCCATAACTTTCCATGACACTGATCTCGATGTTTTTCGCTCCTGTCTGTACAACTTCGAGAAGACTTTTGACCGTCAGCTTTATGCTTTCTTCGCGAGTCATGCCATCTTTGTGATTTTTCTCAAGGAACTCGCGGACCGTTTTCGACGATCGACCAATTGCATTGGCCTACAAACAAGGTGGGCTATATCAGTCACGTACTATACAATGGAGAATGTACTAACCTTCCATGCACTATAGATACCACTCGGCTCAGTCTGGTATAGTCTTGGTCGCGAATCATGTGGATCAAACCCGATGATTAATGTTGAGATACCAAATGGTCGTACACCACCGGACTGTGTGTATTTCTGGGGGAGTATAGAAATGAGGATAAACTCCATGCCAACAACAATCAACTACTGACCTGCTGTATACCAGCAATGTGTCTTGTTATATACTCTACTGTGACGGGATCCTCTACGGTAAGTCGATGACTTTGACATTCTATCCGCGCTTTATCGATGAGGACTCTGCCGTCCGCGGTCAAGCCTGCATGATGTGAGATCAAACGATGCGACCGAGCGGGACATTCAGAAGCGTACCGGCAAATGCCAAGCAGATGTGGTCATCAAGCATTACAACCTTTCTAACGGTACGGGGATCTTGGAGTTGCAAGACGGATTTCTTTTCGACGCCAAGGACGACCACATCATTGCCCCGAACACCGACCTACCAGACCGACAATGAGCGCCACCATTAAGCTAAACAACGTCAAAGTCTTACAGCACATGTTCCCTTGCGAACAGCTTCAAGGGCATACTCGACCTATAGAATAGATGGAGCAAAGATCACGGTCATTTAGACGCGACTTCACCGACCTGGAACAAGTGACCATCCGGAGAGAAGACAGTAAGTGCTGTACAGAGATCAGTAGTTGAGCTTGTCAGCTTCTGCAAATGTCAGAGACGCACCGCGATCATATGACCTAGACATAGCTGCAAGCAAGTGGTGGATGTGATCTACAGAGGTGATACGAAGTCTTACTTATATGCTTGAACGCGCGTCGAGGCTGGCGTACGTTTGCTTAGTAAGCGGATCCATTTATATCGAAAACACGACCAACTAATTAACATTTAACCGCCAACAAGTTAAAGTGCTCAAGTGACAGTACTTACTTGCTTGTGCGACACGAATCAAATGGACTCGGATGATGAGATAGAAATTATCGGCGAGAGGAGCTCACGGCCATCGTGAGTGAAGCCATCAAGTCTATCGTTATCCTCTGCAAGCTTATTCTGGTGATACCACCAGCTGTGCTCAGGCTGGCCCAACACTGTGCCAGTTGTGTGACTTGAATTTTGACTCCGAGAACCTCAGCGAACTTCAGCGCCAACAGCACTATGAAACACACTTCAACTCCAGCTCTAGTAGTACGCATCTACTAACATGTTTTATGCTCCGCGTTCTCACATCTTTGATAGAACAACCTAGTAATAAATTCAAGAAACCAGCAATACCCAAAGACTTGTTCAAACCTTGCAGCTTCCAACTGCCACTTAGGAAGAAACCGGCAGATGAATTTTGGTATCCTACCCTGTCGAGACCGCCACCTGACAACTGCTGTCCAGGTATGTCTGCTAGAATTCACATGGTCTGTGCCCCTTGAGTATAACTACACCAGGCTTGATCCCGCTCTTGAAACATGCTTTGAAGAAATGTCATACCAAAGGAAACACGCGCAGAGCTGTTCTCTGCTATGAATCAGCTACTCATATCTGTGTTGAGGCATTTGACCGCCGATGGGGATGTGGGTAGGTATAACACCAGTCACTGTTTCTATCTAATTGACGTGCCATATCAGATATCGCAATTTCCTCATGGCATGTGCTGCGCTAATGGATCAGCAAATCCAGACCATATATTTTGCCTTACTAGATGACCCCTTCCCCCCTGGTGTTCGCAATTTGCAACGTTGGATAGAAGCTGCGTGGAAGGAAGGTGCATATGTCGGCATTTGCAAGATAATTACAGTACTAAGTTGTCTTTGGCAGGTTATGACCGTGAAGGTGCCAAAGACTTAAGGAACCTGGTAGACACAAATAAATGGATTGGTACAGCAGGTACGACTCAAAAACTGCTGCTTAGGGTTCCGATTGATTCATAGGCGCGCTTTCAGAACTCTATACCGCATTTACATTTCGTGGAGTCCCGTACGTCATTCCCTCTTTGTAAGACGACGTGCTGAGTCTTCATACAGCTCGCAGCTCGTAGATTTTGATCTTTCAAAAAGCGAGAAAGGTGACTTTCAGTTCTACACTGGCGAGTATTAGACTTATCCCACTGTCAGGGATTCAAGTTATGATAGACTGGATTGTCCAATACTTTTCGCCACCAAATTCAAAACAAGGCACGGTGACTGATGTTCTTCGCGGCGCTTCACCTGTGATTGCAACGGACAAAATGCCTCTTGTTCTGCAGTTTAATGGCCATTCTCAAACAATCATTGGATACGAGATCTCAAAGAATGGGGACACCAATCTTCTCGTATTTGACCCTTCGAGGTAAATTTGCTGTTATGAGTAGGTGGAGATGCTGATGCAATGTCTCAAAGGCCACCTAGACTGAGCATGCGTCGAGCTGCAATAGCTGGACCTTCTTCTGTTGTATGGGAACAGTCTCGGACAAATCAAGTGCTACAGTCTGTCGTACATCCAACGTCTAACAGACGCTCCTCGAAGCTGAAACGTCCTTCGTCGTCTTCCGATATACAACAGCACAAACGAAGTAAATCATCTGGATCAGACAACGATATCATCATCGTGGAAGACTCTGACACACCCAGGAATGACCAGGGATCGGGTATTTCTCCAGGTCAAACGCAGCTATTGACACTTGACCCTAGCAACGTCGTTAATCACTTTCGGCTCGGCACGCGTAAATTGCAGTGCGTACTATTATTATTTTATTGCACGGACCATGCGGACTCAGTGACCTGTCCTCAGGCGCAAGCAAAACTACCAGATACTGTACTTTCCCATGACCGATTCATGGTCCATTGAAGAACGTAACAAGCGAAAGGTTGTAACGAGCATCTCGTGTGGTTGATTTTTCTTGTTTTGACCCAACAGTCATGTTTCCCAGTAATTCATCAGCATCACACCCCATAATTTGACATGTTTTTGATCACGCACCTGTACAGGATAGTCACGGTAGAGCATGACCGTGTAAATCCAGGCGTGATGAACATTGAACCGATATTTCAGATTCTTTTTGTCCCATTCGGGCACATCTACGTGCAATCCGTGTCTGCTATTTCTGCGAAGTTTTGGATGCAATCATAGTGACAAACTAATCAATAGAGCCACCGAGTTCCGGCCTCCTTCAGGCCCAAATACCTCCATAACACTGCCCAGGCCATCATTACCCCCTTGCAGAATTCATATCATCTATTGCACAAATAATGCATTTTCCCTTCCGTTGCGTTGTTACTGCGTTGACGCTATCTATGTCTGCCAGTGCATGTGGGTCCCAATACTCGCCTTGCAAATCATCAACGGATTGTTGCGGTGGCTTTTGTTGGATAAACAGTGTAATTTGCTTTTTTGCGTCTAGAATTCAATCCCTTGACTCATTGTTTGCCCTGTGATACTAATAGGCTCCTGATGGTTACTGCGTTCTTCCCATTCCCCCTTCCCATTGAGCTGGCAGTCCGGATGACATGTCGCAACAGTAAGTCAGTTCTGCTTTCGCATGCTATCGTGATCAATGGCACGATGTGTAGCTCCTCGCTAAGTTCATCAATATGGTTATTTCTGGAGTCTGGGCATATATCCCTGACGTTCAGGATTTTGAGTAGAAAAATATGTCAAACAGATGTGATACAAATGCCCAGATGAATTATTAGTGACTGTAGGTGCTGTCAAGCTTTGTATGGAAATCTGTCAGAGTTCCTGGTCCTTTAAGATCTATGCAACTACAATATTTCTAGCATCCTGACGTTCATCATGCATCATGTGGCGGTTGAACGTTAAATAGTGAGTTATAGTTGTAGCGCAATTAGATGTTGCACATATCGATGGATCTGAAAAGTAGACTTGGTCGCTGTTATTTGTTATCGGAGAGATACCCGCTCTAGTATATGAATCGTCCCATCCATTCATCTGTAGTAACTGATTGGAAAAGAAACTGGACGTCGCTGTCAGATATGCAGAGTAGTTAAGGCAGTCTAGCAGGTCCTCCACACAGCTTTCCGACGAGTGGGTTCTGTGGTTCAGCGCACCAACTTGAAAGTATCGACTCCTTACGCAGTACTTCGCTGAAGGCACAACAAGGAGATCATTTCTAGAGTTCAACAATTGACTGAGGGGGACCAGCATTTTTTGACGAAGGCTATTGAGCAGGTATGTTGATTGCACGTGTGGAGTATTCACGATTATTGATACGTGCGCAGAGGTGATAGGCAAGATCATAGCTTCGCAAGGGGATAGGACATTGAGAGCAGGCACAACGAAAGTGCGTACGGGATGATGCGCGCTGAAATCGAGCACCTCGAGTTTCGCACTGAACGGTGAGTACATGTTCGAACCACTCACCATTGGCCGATGATATAATGTCGACTTGAATGATCCAATGATCGAACAAGATACTAAGTACCTTTTGGCTTGAACATCATGGCCAGAATATCGAAGCTCTGAAATAGGTCAATCACTTCGAGAAGGCAGCCAGAAAGCAAGTGAACTCACGTCGCATTTTAGAACTCTCTGTGACATCCCCCCTTCCCGGAACTACAGGAGATGGACTTCAGCGACAAACACGGGGAAGTAAACTAGAACATTTGTAGGCCACGATTCTTGTGAGGATGGTTGCTCCGTAAATTTAGGCCCTGAGGTTGCGTCAAACAAGATGGCGTACAGCCTTTATTGACATTGTTCATCGAGCCACCTCCATTCCCATCGTCCTTGGCTGGACAAAAAGAGACGTTCGTACCTGACTTCATGATTTTTGGAGACCATTTAGCTTACACACATGCTGCGCTATCTTTCATGCGGAATGTTGACGTAGCGATTGTTTTTGGATTTAGCCTTCCTGGGATGGAGTATTAGAATTGTCATAGCTGACTTGATACATCAATGCGGAACAAACACTGCAATCGATTTTCAGGCGGGTGTTACGATACTGTCAGTCCGTGCAGGTGATGGGTTCAGCCCCGACAGAGGTAGCAAATCCAATCCAGCAACAGCACACCTGAGAGCTCTGTCCCAAGCTTCTTCGACCCGATATCCTCCCGCTCTCATGATTCCTTCACGATCCTTCCTCACTGCGTCGCTGTACATATCGTCGTACTGGTCCCGGATCGTGTAGAGATCGTCGTAAGCATACCAATCGTCCTGCAAGGGGACATGTGGTGGATCTGGAATAACAGTACTTTGAGCAGCGCGTGCACGCAGGAGTTGGGCATTGCTTCTTAGAACCGTGGTAGTAGTAGAACGAGCGGATGATCTCTTCATTGCTTCGGCACGAGATTTGGCGATGACCTTGGCAGCACTCTTTGTGCTAGTCTCGAGGCGATCGATGATCTCGCGTTGGGCTGTTTCTCGTTCTTCACGCTCTATCTCCTGTTCTCTTCGCAGCTCTAGTGCACGCTGTTCTTTCTCCTGGCGTTCTAGCTCTTCTTGTTCCTTTAAAGCTTGCGCGTATTGTTCTTCCCGCTGAGAGTTGAGTTCTATAAGAGCTGCGTTTTCACGTCGATGAGCGAGTATCCGAGCCTCAGTCTGAGCAATGTTGACGTCGTTGATAAGGTTGAAAGCTTGACGACATGAGTACGGCATGACACCGTCAAAGATGAAGTACTCACTGATATCTTCTACCTCTTCAAGATAATCATTGTAGGAGCGAAGATCGAAGAAGTCTTCGCGTCGTTTGTTGAACCTAGCCGTTCGTGGTAAGGTTCAGTTCTTGATACAAATATAAGATTGCTCACTCCTTGGCTATTCGTCTGCGCACGGCGACTTCTTTTTCCACAGTAAGGTCTTCAAAAGTCTGTGGAGTGAATGCAAGCTTTCGTAGGACTTTTTGGCAGATAGGACACGGTGCGGGTCCTAAGGTGAACAAGCGGTCGATGCACGACTCGCACCTACAGGATATTGGTATCAGCTTGTGTTTCTATGCGAACTTGGATGCATACATTTTGTGGTAACAAGAACTGACAAGAAGACGGAGCTTGGGGTTTAAGTACCGATCAGACTTGCATACAGGGCATTGGTCATCCATGGACTTGTGATTCCGTAGCATGTTAGTGGATGTGCTTGAAGGATAGAGACTACGACATACGAAATATTCTGTAGTTCGCCCAGATGCATCTTTAACGCCCCCGCTGAAAAGGGTAGAGGAAGTGCTCTGAACTTGAGGTGTGCTGGAGCGAGCGGTGTGTGCATTGGATGTTATGCCACCTTTCCGGACGGTCTTTCCTTTCAACCAGCCACCTGCGTTGGCGCGGTTTGACATAGCTTATAGATAAAGGGAAAAACAAGTTTTTGACACCAGGGTTGTGCAGCCGGGTGTTTGTGCGAGGTAATGCTGTGCAGTCATCAAACACGTGTATTTCATAATATACAGGGGGTATACATAGTACAAAGCTCCTCAGTTCAAGTTCTCTCATCCCATCTGGATCATCGCATCATTGATACAGTATTAGACTCTTCCGTTGGACCAGGTCACTGACATCCCTGCAGAGAATCTTAAAGGCTTCGCCTGTGCCAGAAGGGGGTTACGAACCTTGGCCCTCGCAAACCTGAGTGCCCTAGACTGCCAAGCTACCAATGGAAAGACCGCTGTTTGTTCATTATGCAATTATGACTCAGGGCTCTACCAAAGGTTGACGCCGCCGTGACTGTGCACGATATCGAATTATAAGACGTTCGAGGTCATTTGAGTTTGGACTCTGGACAGACCTGCTAGTAAAGCGTCGGATGAGTTGAATAGGACGTCCAGTGGGTGAGGGTAGTAAGATTACTTGTGGCACGAGCGCTTAAAGACTCGAAAAGGCTAAAAGTAATATAAAAGCAGAATGAAGCCGGACACTCGCTCGCTTACACGTCACGGGGCAACGGCCGAGGTGACGCTTGTCAGGATATTCAAGTTCTGTGAACTTCTGTCTCAGCAACCGTCGTATCCTACTTAGAACCGCACTCACGCTCAACTTATCTTCCTTCCTCTCTCTTCTCATCCACTCCCCTACTTCACAAATAATACGAGGCCTACCCACTGGCAGGCCTATCTCCACGCCTTTGCCTTCGCTAAGCTTGCCCTCTCCTTCTCAGCATTCATTCAGTCATCAATTCTCTCAAACTTTCGCGATTGCACCCCCGGCAGGGTGGAAGAGAAACCATCAATCTTTTTTCAGGTCCGTCATTTTGTATCATCCTGCGCTGTTATCACACCATAACTCTCAACTTCCAGTCCTTCATATCTTAGTTCAGTGAAAGGATGCACGATTCTGTAATGCAATCCTCCCGTTCGACCTCATTCGACGCCCCAGGTGGTGCGACTGGTAACTCGGTTGATGTTCGACTCTTTTGTGAACCGCAGGCCATGATCGGCCAGGGGCCTATCACCCCTCCTATGTCTCCTGGCAACAGCGAAGATAAACGAGAACCCAAACCCACAAATTATCTTCCAGAACAAGTTCAACACCCTGCCTTTACCGTCAACACTTCTACTCCAATGTGGCAGGAGCCACAGGTTCCCGTGGTAGCTCCAACACCTAAATCACCCGCAAGACCTCCTGCAAGGTTGTTGGAGGATGAAGCAGTTCATGTAGAGAGACGGGGTGTGCTCAGGCTGCTCGATTTTGAGGTGAAAGGCGCCCTCGGTTTGTGCCCGTGTCCTCCCAAGGTCAACACTTTCTTATTGTTGATTTGACAGGTACCGGCACTTTTGGGAGAGTGCTCTTAGTCCGCCTCAAGACAGCGAATACAGGATCTCAAAATATTTTCGCAATGAAAGTCTTGCGCAAAACCGAAATCGTACGCCTCCGCCAGATTGAACACGTCAACGCAGAGCGCTATATTCTCTCACGCGTGCGCCATCCATTCGTAGTGGACCTTTTTGCAACCTTTCAAGACAGTCTCAACATTTACATGTTGATGTCTTATGTTCCTGGTGGTGAACTATTCACCCATCTCCGACGGGCGGGCCGTTTCACTCCTGACGTTACTCGATTCTATCTCGCTAACATTATCCTCGCCCTCCAGTATTTACACTCCTTTAACATCATATATCGTGATCTCAAGCCCGAAAATCTACTCCTCGACTCTCGAGGCTATCTCCGACTCACTGATTTTGGTTTTGCGAAAATCGTCGACGACCGTACCTGGACTCTTTGTGGCACCCCTGAGTACCTTGCCCCAGAAATAATTCAGTCAGACGGTCATGGAAAAGCCGCGGATTGGTGGGCATGCGGTATTTTGTGTTACGAGATGCTAGTCGGCTACCCACCATTCTTTGATGAGACCGCCTACGGTATCTACGAGAAAATCCTACGAGGCAGTATTAATTGGCCACGCACCATGGATCGGCTATCTAAAGAACTGATCAAAGCGTTCTTACATCCTGACCGAAGTAAACGCCTTGGTAATATGATAGGTGGACCACAAGACATTCTCCACCATCCTTGGTTCCGAGGCGTTGATTGGGAAGCTTTGGAACGATGTGAAATCAAGGTGAGAAACACGATCAACTACCTCGAATTAAAATTTTTACCTCCACCGATCAAAGGCACCGATCATCCCCCACACGACGTCACTGGATGATACTCGTCATTTCTTGAACCTTCCCCACCCAACCCTCGAAGACATGCCCGGACTTGTCATGGAAGAAGCTCCTCCTCCTCTCCATCGGCGCTTTGACCCTATAACCTATCATTTCCTTGAATTCTAATCCGAGAACTCAGATTATTTATCGCTGCTCGACTTTCAGCTGATCTATAGCATAAACATTTCTCCATCTGTCTCCACCTGATTTTGCCTCTCTTCCACAGCCTCCATCTGTGTCCTTAGTTACCCTTGCATAGGATATCATCGGTGAGCCACCCAACCGACACCTCTGTTTTATCGTTCTGCTCTCCGTCTCGTATGTAGCTTTGATCTGTCATATGATGTATCATTCCTGTCGTTTTTGTATTGAGCCACCAAACGTCTTGAAACTATTTATTTAATCTTGAACTTTGACCTGTAGACACTGCGTGTTGTCCAAAAATTCCGACGGCTGAGGTTGGCGGAGATTCTGGGGGGTCCCCAAGGTTTCAGCCACGTCACCGCCACCAAATATCAGCCAGCCGATACTAAGTCGTAAACTTGATACTCTAAGTCGACGCTCCGCGCAACGATGGCAGATACTATAGCTATCGGCCGGGCCTCCTTGCCTTGATTTCCTCTTCGTATATACGGCGTCGACTTAACCCTTCAACACGCCTCAACGCATACCCAGCTGCAGACCTACCACATTAGTACATATAACGTTAACCCATAGCTAGGGTTTATGCGACGACAAAGGCAGCTCTAGCGTCGTTGGTTCTGCTAGCGCTGCTTGTCTCCAACCAACACAACCGACACCACATCACTCAAATTGTACGAGCCTTGCCTGCCTGCCATTTGAACATCTATCGTGGCCGTCGACTCGAGGATAATTACAAGTATGAAGACTCATGTATGGCTTGTAATATACATTGTCTTCCAAAGACTGTCCTTTGATCACCTGTTGGATCTGATTCATAGCGCCGCTTGTGTCCTTGCACTGTGTGTACACCAGCGGGTCTCTACCAGACCAGTTGAATAATCAGACTCCATGTCACGAGAAATGGATATGCTCGTCGTCAGCCAGGTCCAATCGCGAACAAGCTCATGTTCGAAGATGACTTAGATATCGATCAGGAATTTGAAACCTCACAACCTGCTGCCAAGTATGATTGTCCACCCTCACGGGCCTCACCTACTCTGGGCGACAATGAGTATTTTGATCGCGAGGCAGACGCTGATATCATCATGGGCATGGATGAGGATCCTGTTGACAGAGACTTTTATGTTGACGAGGATGTTCGTGTTGACGGAGACCCCATCCTTTGACAGAATTTTGGCATGCATCAAAGCGACGGAGAATACCCTTCCCGACCTGATTCCCCTCCTCTACACTTTCCAGCATCTGATGATGAGTCTCTCGACAATCAAAGTATACTTTCTCTCGATCTCGGCACTTCTGCTATCACACACGACGAGCATCACGAATGGGTTAGTACAGGTGAAGATATCGAGGGAGGTGACGAGCACGTTTGGGACCCAGAGGTGGATCCTGAATACTTATCAAACGATGCTGTCCTCGAGGATGGCCTTGCACAAGAAGACCAGAGCGAGCTGGAGGATATCCTCCCACATGCATTATCAGAACATCCGGCTCTTCTCAATGGTTACTTGACTGTGTTTGTCAATGCTGCATATCGACATGCAACACATGCAGACTCGGAGGCAACACTTACCCTTACTCATACAATAATGAACTCAACAAGGACATTTGCACTTTGATCCGCTCTGTGAGTCGAATGTATGCGCTTGCAGACTGCAGTGCGCCGGTATAAGTATAGTCAGACTTAGTAGTATTACTTGCTTAATCGAGACCCCACATACGCGGAGTTTGAAACTACCTTTGCTCTTGACGTCGTCCAAGTCGTTACCCATCATTCACAGTTGGTGAGTGTGTCGATCCTCAACAGCCATGCTGATCAAGTCGTTGCCCATTGTTCACAGGATGATGTGAGTGTATCGACCCTCATTTGAGCAACAGCCACATTGCCCACTGATCTTCAACAGCCATGCTGATCCAAGTCGCCCACTGTTCGCAGAGAGTGAGTGTATTGATCCTCCTTCGAACAACAGCCATGCTGATACAAGTCATTGCTCACCGTTCGCAGTTTGTTTGTGAGTGTGTCGATCCTCAACACCCACGCTGATCAAGTCATTGCCCACTCTTCGCAGAGAGTGAGTGTATTGACCCTCGTTCGAGCAACAGCCATGCTGATTAAGTCATTGCCCACTCTTCGCAGAGAGTGAGTGTATCTGTCCTCCAAGCTCGAACCATGCTGAGTCAAGTCATTGCCCACCGTTCGCAGGAAGTCAGTGTGTCGACCCTCATTCGAGCAACAGCCATGCTGACTCTCCAAGTCGTTGCCCACCGTTCTCAGGAAGTGAGTGTATGTCCTCCTACGAGCTCGAACCATGCTGAGTCAAGTCATTGCCCACTGTTTGCAGGAAGTGAGTGTGTCATTACCCACAGGTCACAGGCTCACATGGGTGCGGGTAAGGGTGCGGGTGCGAGTGAGGTCTCCGACACCTTAGGGTTTACCCGTATAGATCCTTAATTATACTTGTATCTAGCACGGAGGAGCAGTCTGCTACCGCAATTGTATGATATATTGGGTGGCCACCAGCTGAATTTGACCGCGGCCGTACGCGTGCAGCAGGAGTGCTATATATATATAATTACAGCACTCCTATATATTAATATTATATATATGTGTATATATAATATATAAAGCTCGCGAGGTCGCCCTATCGAGGATAGGCCATGGTTTCAGCCGGTGTCGACGAGAGCGCGAAACCTTGACTGCTACGTAGAGGAAATGCGACAAAACCGCCATGTTGACGCCGGTGTCCAACGAAGGCGCTGACGTGGCTGAAACCTAACCTAGGGTCAGGTTCTACCCTCGTTTCATACAGCCGAAATTTTTGATAACACGCAGTGAGATGGGCATGGCTCCTTCCGCATGTAAGAATAGGCGATGTCTTTGATTGATTGTCCTTATTGAATCCTAAAGGCGTTGTCAAATAGAACCAAACAGCCGCCTTGAGATGCCGAAAGGAAAAAGTTTCCTAAAATCACAATGGCTCGCAGACGCAAAAATCGCACACATTTGAAGGGTGCAGGGGCAACTGTACAACGCGCGAACGACGGTGAACCTAGGTCCTTCATCATCAAACATGGACAAGTGGGTTCTTCCCTCACGCAGCTCGTTCGCGATCTGCGAAAAGTTATGGAACCAAATACCGCGAGTCGTCTAAAGGTGAGCCCTACCAATCTTGTGTTTCAAACGTCTTTGAACATCTGAGTGCAGGAACGTAACCGTAACAAACTAAAAGACTACCTGACTATGGCTCCTGCACTCGGGGTCACGCATTTGCTAGCTCTTACTGTCACAGACGTCGCGCCCTCACTGCGCATGGTTCGACTTCCCGCGGGACCTACTCTTAGCTTCCGTGTGGAACGTTACAGCCTGATGAAAGACATCTTGAAAACTTCTCGATCCTCACGAAGCATGGGGATGGAGTACCTCACCGCCCCATTGGTAAGTGACATATTGTAGCTTCGATCATCAGTCTCATACAACCATGATAACTTTATAGGTCGTCCTCGCTTCCTTCCCTCCACCCTCTCCCGAAACGCCCCCACATCTTCCACTGCTCATGAAATCCTTCCAATCTCTTTTCCCTCCACTATCCCCCAACTCAATGTCGCTCTCCAATTGCCGTCGGATCGTCCTGATAGCATACAACGCCGACAGAGGAACCGTCGAATTCAGGCACTATGTTATCACTGTAAAACCATACGGCATCTCAAAGCGCGTCCGACGCGTGCTCGAAGGTGCCCCCAAAAAATCGTTGGCCAACCCCTCCAGTGGGTTCTTGGACCTTGGAAACGAGAAGGATGTCGCGGACTTCTTGCTTAGAAAAAGAGGAGAGCCTAGCCCAGGGAGCGACGGGTATGAGTCTGCGGCATCGTCAGCTTCGAGTGCTGCTGGCGATGACGGGGATGCGGTGTCGTTGGCAGATGATTATGTTGGGCGGAATAACAAGAAGGGGCAAAAGAAGGCTGTTCGACTGAGTGAAGTTGGCCCGAGGATGGAGCTCAAGCTGATTAAAATTTCTGAAGGCCTTCCAGGGAAGGAAGGCGCTGTGCTGTATCATGAATTCGGTGCGTTGCAAATCAATCATATAATAATGCAACGGTAATTGATCGGTTTATCGTGTAGTCAAAAAATCAAAAGCCGAAGCTGCTGCACTCAAGGCTTCTCATGTCGCTAAGGAGAGATTGCGAAAGCAAAGAAGGGAGGAACAAGAAACCAATGTGCAACGGAAGAAAGCAGAAAAAGAACAAGGGTCGCGAAAGAACCAAGAGGGTTCTGATGAGGAAGCCAGTGACGCTGAGGCTGACGAATCTGACCAGGAAGCTCATGATGAGTGGGATGAAGATGAGGAGATAAGTGAAGTAGGTGGCAGCGATGATGAACCAGGGAGCGATGAAGAGGAAAGTGAGGATGAACCCGAAGAAAGACCGCCTACCAAGAAGGTTCGAATACGAGGAAAACGGTGAACTATGAAGTATGTTTCTCACGTTGGAGTATATTTACGATGATTTGACCCTGAGTGGGGGATACGATATGTATGGAAATCGGACAGCATCTCATCCTCTTCCGCTCGTGATAGAGTGAGGTGGTGATGGTGACTAATGTTCAGATTCTCAAGCTTCAAGCTTCAAGAGCGTCCCGTGTTCAGTACATAAGCCAGGTTGTATTTAACGCGCACTATCGAGCCGTGGATACATGAAAATGAGTGGGGACAATACATCTTCAATATATAAGTACGACAGACTCTTCTGTCTGTGCTCCACCTGTGCCCGTGCTGAGCGCTGAGCTCCACCTGTCGTCTAAATTGGTCTAGCGCCATGTGCGCTTGACGTCTATCGATCATTGTCCTCCTAACTACATACTCCTGTTCTAACTCATGCAGATACATACTAAGCTAGATAGATTATTATGCTAATGTACGCGCTTTTGAGTTATCAGCCAAGAAGGATGTAGTATCATTTTGCCTGTATATGTCGTGCAAAGACTGCATAGGATATTGCTGCGAGTTTCTGTGTTCTAATCCACTTCCCCCTCCAAGAACAGTTGAGATGTAATCTCGATTGTGTCGACTACTCGTCATGCGAATGAAGACCATGTAAAAGGCAATCGAGATGATCGGGACGTTCTAGTTGATCTCAGCTTAGTGATATCGATAACAAATGTTAACAGCCGAATTACCAAGTCTGCCATAACATACAGTCCGTTGTTCGAGAGGACGAAACATATGATCGAGGAGCAGAGCGCTGCAGAGTACAAAATAGCAGCATCTAGGAACACGCGCAATAAAGGCATCTTCCTCTTTGTAGCGCGGATTCCGGAGACCTTACGTTCGCTCTTCCAGATGCGATAGGCTAACAGTCCTAACATCAGGGTAATGAGACCCAACATCGCGCATACGCAGAAGTGTGCTTACCTGAACTAAGCAAATTTGTTGCAAGTGTCAAGGCCATGAACGTCGCGACCAAATGTCCAGTCTTTTTGGTGAAGACATTGTTAGTACTCGACGCTTGCGAAAAGTCATAGAGCGTAACAACGCCGAACGCTTCCAGGCAACATCAGAGCACATCACTTCGCAAGTATGATTGCAACAAACCTGCGATACCACACCACAATATGCAAGGTATAATAATAATCCATACAGATTGCCACACAATGTAACATCGATAAATCTTTTGATCGAGGAGGAATTCTATAAGCCGCGGGTTTCAAGCTTGCAGATTAAAATTTGAACCCACCACCACACCGTCGCCAAGCAGGGTTTGTAAGACGAGTATCGCATTCTTGACTACAAGCGTTTCTTCGGAAATGTCTGCAAAAAACGCCGCTGGGCCGCCTGGAAACGTGTCACGTTGCTTCACTAGTCCATCTTCAATACGAATGATGCCTACGACCATGTGCTTGGGAAGCTTCAGCGAATGTCACTGGACGCAAGCGGTGAGAGACACTGACCACGGTACTCAGTAAGAACAATAGGGTGGCAACTGCAACAGCTGGTCGATTGACGTCGCGTGTGCGACGTTTGTAGATGATTATCCAGATAGTACCTAAAAACATTAGGACTGAAAAGCCTAAAGAACGCTAGCTTGGTGGACATGAGACGGGAAAACTCATTGCAATACACACCATATAAAATGCCTTCTAGCACTGATGACATGATGACAGCGGTATCCAGCGGGATACCTGGTGAAGCGGCCATGACGCAAATACCAATGCTTAGGGATGCACGACGCTGTGGACACTAGTTGGACGTTATATCCAAGTATTCGGCTCAAGCTTGCGACTCAGGGATCAGTTAATTGCGACGCACCTTACTGCAGGTTCATCCTCGGCATTTTGGAAAATTAGAAGCTACTTGAAACACCAAGCGACACAAGCACCGTACTTCTTGGCCTTTTTCACTGCTTACCGCCGGGTAAATTCCCCAAAAGGATTGGTCGTAAGAACGGTGACACCAACTTGCCGTCAACTTCAAGTTCAACGTTATCACAAGGCAATCATAAGTTGAAAAAGTAGATGCCTCGTAGCTTGACTAGCCTTATTTTGGCATTATCGTACTCGTCGGTGAAATAGCCTACAACGCAAGTAGTGCAAGCTTAGCGGCAAGTGGAGATACTTTGTCGAGAAATTTACTGCAAGAAGTCACGTGACATCGCGCGGAATTCAGGGGTGGTTGAACGTGAGTTGGTTGAGTTTGTACCTGCGCGGTCCTGCGGCTCAGCGGCCCTAAACGAGTGCTGTAAAGTGCCGTCTTGGCCCTGCCCACGTCACATGTTTGATTCCGCCTTAGTGCTCAAGCGCTTATCCAACTCGACTGTGCTCCGTCGTGCCCTTCGCGAGTGCAGCAGTTAGCAACCAGCCGCCTGATCGACGCGAGCCGTAGCTGTAACCCAGCGATGATAGGTAGAGAACTCGTGAAAGGACGTGTCGTGGCGTGCAGAAGGATGTATCATGCTGTTGGCAGGAAAAAGAGATGTACAGGTATTGGGTGGGCGGCCAACGTTCCAATGATGAGGGAAGGAACAGCTTCTCCGTTCCACCAACCCAGGAATGATTAATGATTCCACGTCTTGTTCTTGCTGATGGGTGTTGCTGATTCAAATACCACCGCGCAGCCGGGTCGCATAACTGCACTAGTACTATGATGACGGGTTCTCTCGATCATTTTATGTCAGGGAGGTGATGTGGTGATAATCAAGTAAAAGAACGTGATGTGGGCACATGACACGATGTCTATGATGGAATACTCGTATTAATATATTTAACGTAGATCACAGAAGTGAGTCCGTAATTAAATTAAGTAGATAGTCCATGATTGTATCAATGAAGGAGACAATAAATCAAAGACAACATGTAGTCTGTACAGTGGAGGAAGCCAGAAGAAACCTGGTCTGTTAGACGTACTCGTATGTGCGGGACTTGGACTATGGGTGGCGACCTTCAACTTCTTGGGAATAATTCCAGGTCGTAGGGGACAATGAAGGAGGTCGTCGTGTCGTTTGACGCGTCGTCGAGATATGGTCGTAGGGGACCTCTAACTCATCGAAGAGCTGATATGTCGGCGCGTAGTATGTGTGGGGCCCTCAACCTCGTGGATAATGTGACTCCATGTCGTAGGGGACAGCGAGGGAGGTTATTGAATGTCGAGTCGTAGGGGACCTGACACCAGACGTGTTGGAAAAGATGCGTCATCTATTTTCTAACATGGGGATATCAGTAAGAGAGGTAGGAGTATGAGTGGGCTACTCACTGTTCGTAGACATCATGCGGAGTTCAGCAGCCGATAGGATGCCGATACTGTGGTCGTGCTAGTAGGGTGTGTTGTGGCTGACGTTTTGGTGACTGTGAGGGGTTATCGTCAAGAATAGGAGGCTCCATGTTTCGAAGTACGGTGTCGATAGCATCGTCGTGTAGGGTGTGTCGTAGTTGAAATTCCGAGGATTGATAGCTTCGATATTTCGGAGTGGAGTGTTGGTGGTGTTGCGGTGCTGGTGACTGGAACTGTCGTCTGTGTTATCTTGTAACATGTGTTTCGATGGCTGAGAGATATTGTCGTCGAGAGTATGAGCATCTGCTCTGAGAGCGTCAACTTGAATAGCGTGGTTGTTGTCGAGAGTAAGCGCTTCTAATTTGTGCAGTAGAGCGTCAATAGCGTGGTTGTCGTCAAGAGCAAGTGCGTCGATAGTGAAATTTTCGTTGGGAGAGACGAGAGCCTCCGATTTTTGAAGTAGAGCATCGATAGCGTGGTTGCTGTCGAGAGCAAGTATATCGATAGTGAAATTTTTGTTGAGAGCGACAAGAACCTCCGATTTTTGAAGTAGAGCGTCGAGAGCGTGGTCGCCGTCGAGAGCAAGTGCGTCGATAGTGAAGTTTTCTTTGGAAGCGACAAGAGCCTCTGAGTTTTGAAGTAGAGCGTCGATAGCGTGGTTGCTGTCGAGAGCAAGTGCGTCGATAGTGAACTTTTCGTTGAGAGAAACAAGGGCCTCTGAGTTTTGAAGTAGAGCGTCGATAGCGTGGTTGCTATCGAGAGCAAGTGCGTCGATAGTGGACTTTTCGTTGAGAAAAACAAGGGCCTCTGAGTTTTGAAGTAGAGCGTCGATAGTGGGGTTTTCATATACAGTGATAAGAGCCTCTGATTTTTGAAGTAGAGCGTCGATAGCGTAGTTGTCGAGAGTCAGAGCTTTTGATTTTTGCGGTAGAGCATCGATAGCGTGATCGTGCAGATGTGGCTGAAATTTGGATAATTGAGAGGGAACATTGTCGAGAGAAAGAGCTACCATTTTTCGAACTAGGTCGTCGATGGCATGTTCGTGTACTACGGTGCGTTGAGGTTGACATTTTGGTGAATGAGGGGAACCATTGTCGACGTGTGGCCGAATAATTGATAAATGAGAAGGTACATGGTCCAGAAGAAGAGTTGAGAGGCGAGAGGGTGGATCGTCGAAGGATACATTATCGAGAGAGAGAGTCGAATTGAAGTGAGAGGGTACATTGATGAGAGGAGATAGATGAGAAGGTACATCGTCGAGAGAAAGAGCTGACATTGCTCTTGTTAGATTGTCGTCGATAGTGCGAGAGTCGTATTCAGAAGGTACATCGGCGAGAGAAATAGTTGAAATGTGAGAAGATACATCGTCGAGAAAGTATGTTGAGATGTGAGACGGTACATTGTCGAGATAAAGAGCTGACATTGCTCTTGTTAGATTGTCGTCGATAGTGCGAGAGTCGTATTCAGAAGGTACATCGGCGAGAGAAATAGTTGAAATGTGAGAAGATACATCGTCGAGAAAGTATGTTGAGATGTGAGACGGTACATTGTCGAGATAAAGAGCTGACATTGCTCTTGTTAGATTGTCGATAGTGTGAGTGTCATATTTGACGTGCAAGGTATCTTCAGGCTCGTCGTCCGTAAGGCACTGTGCTGTAATCTGACAGTCTTCCTATAGATCAAAACATTAGTTGACGGAAGTCGGAGAAAATCTCGCCGTCTCTTACCTCGTAGAAAGTGCTTTCGTCAGCAAGCGAATCAAGGTCTGTGGTGTCCGAGACGCAGTCGCCGAAGAAGACGTCCTCGTCTAAGTACTCATCACTGGCTATGAGCGTCGTGTCAGAATCAATTATAAATAAGCCTTCGGTGGGGCCGTCAAAGGCGGGTTCAATTGATTCAGTCACTGCGCGCGACGAGGATGGCTGAACTGGTGTTCCAAAAGTCTTGGTTGTTGCGATAGCATCCGCAATCTTGTCGCCAGCAAAAGGTGCGTTGGGCTCGACGGCATTGTCCACGTCCTTGTGAGCGGGGACGCATTGGAAATCGTCGCTGAGGAATTGTCGAGCAGCTTTAGCGGTGGCTAGAAGAAGGACAGCTGTCGAGGAGCAGACAGTGGATGTGACGAGGCTAATGGAAACCTTCTCTGATCTGGATATGACCTGAATAGTGCGGTCGATGACAATTTCTTTGAAGAAAGCGGCTGTAAGATAGCCTCGGAGAGCAACACGGGCGGTACGGGTCAAGGTGGTAGTAGAGATCATCATGACGAATGAATGTAGGATCGTAAAGAAATTGGCGGGCGTGAAATGATGATTGGCGGAACTGACTGAGGAATATCAGTGCAGCGACAAACACGAGGTATTTATACTCCAGGTTTAAACCTTATTTGCACCAGCTTTGCAGACCAATAAACAGAGACGATCGCGACGCGACGTTTGTCACGTGTTTAAAAAATCAACCATATATAACTTCGGTGACTGGAAGATGAATGTCATAAGTATCCCCCCGGGCACAACTCTATAGAATTAGATTACATACCAAAGGCGAGGTAGGCTTGATTTACATCAGGCTTGTTCCTTCGTCAAGGAGAAGCTGGGTCAATATATGATTCAGACGACTGAGAATGGTCGTGGTTGGATCGACGTATCGCCGTTCTAATACCATGGCTATAAGTCCTGAATATATTCACAATTAGTAAACCACGGGTGGGATATAAATTATCTATGGGGTACGGAGAGGTGAATATGGGTTTATGAAGACTACTTATGACTGAGACGGGGTGTTGGTACTGCGAACACTTCCAAACCAATCCTGCCAAATATTCTCGGCTCTCATTTTCACCCCCTCCCAATTGTCTAAGGCAGGCCGAACATCGAGATAGAAAGAGACATTATTTGACGATGGCCCTGCCCCCCGTCCGGTATAGAAGTCGATCACGTATCTGATCCGTGTTCCGCATCGTTCGACCACCCAGTCATGACGATCGAAGGGAGCAGAGTACCTGCAAAACAAAATTAGCATTCCCCGTAAGAACTGTAGGCTAGAGCACGTACCCGAGTAAGGTCATGAGTCGAGCTTTGGGGGTGAGGTCATTAGGTCTGCCCTTAAAGGTTACGAGCTTTACTCCCCCGCACTTTTCACCACCTCTCCCAGATTCCCATTTCATCAGCTCTGACCAGGCACGTTCATTTACGGCATTATGGATAGGAATGATGGTCTTCATATCTGGAGCATGCGGATTATGATTCTTGCGCGCCATGGCAGCAAAAAACTGAGCTTCCGATGGGTATACCCAATTACCATTGTCTGTTCGGGGTATCGAAGAAACCTCACGTTCAGTCGAGAGCGAAGATGTGTTGACTGGATGTGTAGGGCTACTCCCTGGCAAGACGGAGGCCCATGTTGTACGAGATTTGTGGTCGACAGGACAGGACTGGTCAGAAGAATGACTACCGTGGTCGACCGGACATTTGTCTGCCATGGCACAAGTAAAGATAGCCTTGATGAGTCATCAAATCATGGGTCAATTTCGCACGTGATTGGGCCAGCGGCTGTTCGGAACTTGTTCCCGTACGCAGTGGCCGCTACTACGGGTTGCAGCTTTACTCAAATGGCTGCAACGTGGAAGAGCTAGCGCTGTAGTTCACATTCGGTTCTTACCCTGATACTTCATCATGCCGTCCTCGCAGCCAGTGTTCTCGACGCCTCTGACGCGCCTCTTCAAGATCAATCATCCCGTCATGCTTGCAGGTGACTTTACTGTGTTATAGTTCTCATAACGACATTTACATGTGTGTAGGCATGAATGTTGCTGCAGGGCCCAAACTAGCTGCAACAGTGACTAATTCGGGCGGCATTGGTGTCATTGGCGGAGTTCGTCAGAGCCCCAAGATGCTCCAGGAATCTATTAATGAACTCAAGAGCTATTTGGAAGATAAGACCGCACCATTCGGTGTAGACCTCTTGCTTCCTCAAGTAGGTGGCAGTGCCCGGAAGACAAATGTAAGAGCCTATCTCCTACCCAGAGACATGTGTCTAACACCGGTCTCTAGTATGATTATACGGGCGGTCAACTTGACGCGCTTTTGGACGTCGTTATAACCAGCGGGGCTGCACTTTTCGTTTCTGCCGTCGGTGTGCCGCCAAAACAAGCTGTTGAAAAGCTTCATGCTGCTGGAATTCCAGTCATGAAGTATGTGTGTGTATTACACTTAGAAGTTGCAATTGATTAAATTCACCCTTAGTATGATCGGTCATCCAAAGGTAATACGCTTTCCAACGAGATGTAGCCCGTATGTGTCTAAATTGATGTCATTAGCATGCCAAGAAAGCCCTAGAGCAAGGTGCGAAGTTCACTTAGCTTCAGTCCTGCCCGCTCACCGTTTCCAATATCCTCCTAGGCGTTGACATCATCTGTGCACAAGGTGGTGAAGGGGGTGGACACACTGGCGAAACTCCATTCTCCATTCTGATACCCACCACTGTTGATCTTTGCAAGAATGCCACAAGCCCATTAACAGGTGAGCCGGTCATTGTCGTTGCTGCCGGGGGTATCGCGGATGGCCGTGGTCTTGCTGCCGCACTTTCGTAAGTACTTCCCACGCCTGATGCGCTTCTTCGTTAGTGACATGCTTTGACCAAGGTATGGTGCATCCGGTGTTTGGGTCGGCACCCGCTTTGTGGCTAGTACCGAAGCAGGTGCTCCTCCAAAACACAAAGAACTAGTCGTCTCAGCTGGTTATGACGACACTGTCCGCACTCTCATATACACTGGTCGTCCGTTGAACGTGCGGAAGACTCCTTATGTTGAAGAATGGGAGACCCAGCGACAGGGAGAAATTACAAAGCTCGTTGCACAAGGTCATGTTCCGCATGATGTCGAACTAGAGAATCATCCCGAGAAATCTCTGGAGGGTCGAATGTGTAAGGAAAGCTCGTTTGCACTATTTTCTGTCTCACATATTCATGTATGCAGGGTTAATGGGCAAGGTAGCAGGATCCATCAATGTACGTCAGACGATCATATTGAAACGCAATTGCTAATGGATTTCACAGGATATTAAGCCAGCGAAGGAGATGTATGCGGCCTGTTTCTGCTCTGAATTCTACTGACATCTTTACCTAGTGTTGATGAGCTGGTTGCAACAGCAGCTGCGAGCTTGAAAACAGCTTCGGTTCTTATCATAAGCAAAGCGAAGTTATGAGTGGCGATTTCCCCGGACTCTAGTTGTAATGGAAGGCCAACAGAGAGCGCGACCTCACCGGAATATGGATTTATTGTATCTTTATGTACCCCTGTAGGATCTTCATTTCATACCTCGAACACAAATTTGATTGCTACGATACTAAAATATCAGTCCACAAGAAAGTCCTTGAATTGTACATGGTTGCACAGCTGCGATTTATAGCCGTGCCATTTTCATCAGTTCTGATCTTCCACGAGGTTCTTCGTTGCCTTCAAATCCGCCTTTACCATCTCTGTCACCAGGGAATCGAAGTCGACCTTGCGCTTCCATCCAAGAACACGCTCGGCTTTGGCAGGGTTTCCAAGAAGAAGACTGCATACAAGTATGAGAATTTGCAAGAACAGGCGCGACGAAGTAAACATACTCGACTTCTGCGGGACGGAAGTACTGTGCGTCGACTCTGACTACCACCCGCCCGGTCTGAGCATCGTAGCCTTCTTCTTGCACACCAGAATTGCGCCACCTATATAAAATGAAGGACACATTAGACGTGATGTGAGTCAGAACGGGACGCGTACATTATTGCAACCCCGACAACCGCAAAGGCTTTCTCGACGAACTCTCGTACAGGGTGAGTCTCTCCGGTAGCAAGAACAAAATCATCGGGTGTAGGCTGTTGAAGCATGCGCCACATGCCCTCGACGTAGTCCTTGGCTATGAGAAACATGATTCACTAGAGGCGATGACACTCGACAGGTAGAATCTTACCATGTCCCCAATCTCTCTGCGCATCAATGTTACCGAGGTACAAGCAATGCTGCTTGCCGACACTAATATCTGCAACTGCCCTCGAGATCTTCCTCGTGACGAACGTCCTCCCTCGCCTCGGGCTCTCGTGATTGAAAAGGATACCATTGCACGCATACATGCCGTACGCCTCACGGTAGTTCACCGTGATCCAGTATGCGTACAACTTGGCGACACCATACGGGCTACGAGGGTAGAACGGCGTAGTCTCACTCTGTGGGGTCTCGACGACCTTTCCATAGAGTTCTGAGGTTGAAGCCTGGTAGAACCGCGTGTGATTTTCGAGGCCGACAGTGCGGATGGCGTCAAGGAGGCGTAGGGTACCGAGGCCATCGACATCGGCAGTATATTCTGACATCTCGAAGGACACCTTGACGTGCGATTGGGCACCAAGATTGTAGATCTCTGTGGGGAGAACCTGGGCGAGGATGTAGACAAGGTTGGTGCTATCGGAGAGATCACCGTAGTGCAGCTTGAATTTGTTGGGTCCTGGGGAGAATGATCAATATGCAAGTTGTACGATCCTATGTGGACACACGTACGCTCATGCTGATCCGCATAGAGAGAATCTAGACGACCAGTGTTGAAGCTGGACGAGCGACGGATTATACCATGTACTTCATATCCCTTCTCCAGCAGAAGCTCTGCCCTGTATAAGGTCGAGAATCGAGATATAACTAGCGATCGACTGTACGAGAAACATACTCACAAATATGAACCATCTTGACCAGTTATTCCTATACAATTTCAAATCAGCATACGTGCAACATAGCGACGAGCCAACAAGTGAATATGTAGTATAAGAATGGGCGAAAGCAATGACATGATTGCCTGTTTGTTTGATCGGACTGCGCATCATCCACGTTGAGGCAAAAGGAAAGCTGAAGATGAAACGAACCAGAGACCAGCGCAACTTTCCTCTTCCTGAACTCCTCAGGAGACGGAAGATCGATTTTCATCAATGGGGCACGAGCGATGTCAGAGGGCATTTTGAAGTACTGGCGGTTGCGGATGATGAATTCAAACTTTCGACTAGCACAGTTAATATAGCTGAGTATTACAAGTATAAATGGAGACAAATGGCCGCAAGGTTGTGAATCGGGCAAGGTCGGGAAGTCCTTATTTAACTTAGAGTACACTAGTGTACAGTACTACTTATTATCCACCGTCCGACAGTGCAAGCCCTTCGAGCTATGACTGGTGTTGCGATTGGAACGAGCGCAAATGTATATCATTCGGTCGCAATTTGATGGACATCACAACACTACCACCTCAGTACTCAGTACTGAGTGCTCATCATCTGAGCGAGTATGAATTACTTTCTGCGCCACGAAGAACAAGGTTCACGGCTTCCAGCAGACAGCTCCAGGCGGTTGTTCCAGAAGTCCAACATACAACTGGACGCGGCGGGTTTCTCAGTCATAACATAACCAGATCAACGTAACAAAAGGAAGACGTCTGACAAAACAGCAAGTCTGGCGTAGAAGCCGGGGTAAAGTGAGAGTAAAAAGTCTAGGTACCCTGAACCTGGTCGATAGCCGCTTGCAGGCCTTCTTCAACATCTTCCTTAGTACCGTCCTTCTTCACAAACACATCAGCCATGACGGCGTGAGTGCCCCCGTTCGCCTCCCTCCACTGCTTGATTGTCGAGGGCACTTTCCCAGCGTTTGCCTGCAGCTGGAACTTATGGTAGACCGTGCCCTTGGTTGTGACTTCCCCGTCGTAGTCCCAGCGGACGCCGAGTTGTTCCAGCTCGGCCTCCTTTTTGGGGAATACCGTCTTGCCCCGGCCGACGGTGGGGTTGGTAAACTTTTACCAGGCCTTGCCGTCGACGGCGCGGGCGTTAGCGATTCTTAAAAACTTCTTCATCTTATCTTTGGTCAAGAGACAACACCTGGATGCCCTCGGCGTTAACAAACATTGTCTCGAGATCAGTGCGGAATCGGCGGGGCGTACCTCTTCGCGGTCTTGCTGAGTAGTGATAGGATGTATGGAACAACTGTCGACGTGGGATGGAATGAAATGGACCGAGCAGGAAAGGAGGTGCACGCTAGTAGAACTAGCGAGAAGCGAGTGCTAGGATACATCAGTAAGAGAACGTGTGAAATACGAACTACACACCTCAGTAGTGTTAGGAAACAATGCTGAGGTGTCAACGAGAGACGCGACGATATATGTACCTACGGAGATGCTTGGGTAATGTAACGCCGGAGGATCGACGAGCGGAAGTGCCATAAGGCGCAGAAGCTAAGAAGTACTGTGACAGTATGGTGTCGATGGTGATCAAGACAACGAGATAGCGCAAGAAAGGTAGAGAACAAGCTAACAAGAGAAGCTAACAGCTAACACACCCCCTCACCGAGATACCAAATATAATCCGGTGGACTGCTTACTTCGCATACCGCGACGCAGCATTTCCATTTCCATTTCGGCCAGCGCTGGGTCGATTCCAACATGTTCTTGGTTCCTTCGGCGATTGCGAGAACATTGTGGATCCGCTTTGTCAGGTCACTCAATGACAGCCGGAGGCGCAACACCGCGGAATATCTAGCGCGATTTATTACATGTATTCCTCTTCGTCCATGTCGTCCAAGGGCCAGTGCGCCGCGATTTGAGCCCGTTCCTCCTCCGACTCGGCCGCCGCCAATCCATCCTCCTTCAGCTTCTTGCTGAGTGCCATGGCCTCTTCGTAGTGCTCGGCGGGCATCCAGCCCTCCGGCCCGAAGCCGATCATGACCCGGCACCCCTCTAGAGACTCATCCGCTTCTCTCTGTTCTGCATCCAGCTTCATCGTCTCCCGTACGTCATCGGGGTCGAACACGACAGGACACGGCGAACCTCCCCCCGTGAGCGTCTTCCAGTTCTCTGTTGCTTGTATCAGCGCAACCTTCAGCGCGAGAGTTTCGCCCTCCCAAGGGTCACTGGTGTGGCAGAAGAGACGGCGGCGGAGCACGCCCATGGGGTCCGTTAACGCCGCGTAATGAAGCTCGTTGTACTTCTCTGTGTTTTTGACGTAGTGGTAATGGACGAGGCGGCGACGGTAGAGTTCCATCTCTCCGCTTTGCTGGGTTTCATCTAATTCATCCAACTTCTCCGGTAGCGACGGCCGCGTCATGGATTGCGAGCCAATATCATCGTAGTTCTGTAGCTGTTGGGGTATACCGGTAAGGAGAAACAAGGGTAGGATCGGGGTGTGTTGCCAGTCGATCAGGCCGACGACGTGCAAGTTAGAGTCAGGCGACCTAGAAACGATGATATTGCTCGGCTGAAGGTCAGGATGGCGGATGCGGAAATGATAGAGGGCCGGGTTCCTGGGGATGAGTGAGGACGCGATGAGGAGATGGCGGTCCAAGTTCTCGATGTGATCTGACGGCGGCTGCTCCTGGTACTTGTAAGCCTCCCTCCTTACGCGCTGGAACGGCAACAGCGGTCGACCGAACCGCCGTAAATAAGCTAGTTCCTTTTCGGCCCCTCTTACGAGGGCTGCTTCGGCACTTTCATCTATAGTTATCAGTTAGTTTAAGGGTGTAATAATAATAAAAAGGCAGGGAGTGGCCTACATGGTCCTCGATCTAAGTCGAGCTGTGATCTCCTGCCATACCATAGACGCAGACTTGTCTCTGGGCCGACGCAGAAACGCTTGTTCTCTAGTGTGATGCCCGGGCTAGTAGGCCAAGAGGCTCTCCCAGCTGCATTCTTCAAGTCTTCGGCATAGTAAAGGCTTCCGCCAGCCGGGAAAGCAATCGACATCATCTTCGACTCGAGTTCAGCAAGTTGGCGTGAGATTGAAATGATTTCCCCTTCCTCCATATCAAACCACATGTCGCTTAAATTGGTGCCTTGTACGAATTCCATGAAGATATACTCGGTCCCTGCCGCGTTGTTTGGCGTAGGTGAGTATCCGTATACCTCAGGTATAGGCAGCCCAAAGGAACGGAGGAAGGTCATAGTAGCCACTTCACTGGCGACAGCAAAGTACTTGGGAATCGTAGCCGGGTACGGGATACGCGCCACCATTCGGAAGCCACAGCGCATGGTAATGAGGAAGGTGCGGTTAAACCCACCCTCGGCTAGTTTTTCCATACGGATAATAGCATCAGGACTCCGATTGACGGCCTCTGCTGCAAGTCGACGTAGCTCACCGACCTTGAAGACACGTCTGCGCTCTGCGTGGCGAAGGTCATCATTGAAGCTGAACATATTAGATTATGGGTTAGACATATACCCCATAGAATAACATGTATGAGACTTACATCCACCGCCCTGACGTATATTCAAAAAAGTCGCTAGGAGGATGCGCCATGATAGAGAACTCGCGACGTGGCGGCCAACGGGTCGGGGTGGCGATGGAGCTAGAGTAGGAAACGCGAAATGAACGCGGTAAGGAGCAAGGACGGCGCAGAGACTGCCGGACTGAAACGGCCGGGATGTCGAAGACGACCCTCAAGAAGGGACGGAAGAAGGGATCAAAAGAGAGAGGCTGCATTACATAAGGACGCGCAGCAGAAGACTGCATTTTATTTGGCCATCTACGTATATGAGTAGTAAGCAAAATAATGTGTTGCTCGTTGTATAACCAGTCAAACTGATAAGTTGGCAAGGGGTCAGTGCTAGGCAAGAGCACGGGTCTGGGTAACCCGTGCGGGTTGCGGGTACGGGTATCCCTGGGGTATGGGTAGGGGTCTGACATTAGTGTACCCATACCCGTACCCATACCCCTGACATGGGTTTCAGATTATATTAGTACAAGTACTGATGACGGTCCATCAAATGAATGAAATTCGGACATATTGTACATGTCAAACTCTATTTACAAACATCAACGCAAAATGCTAGCATGCAGTGCACAAAACACAGCCCCTTCACTCACACCATGCACTCTGATACTACTGCTAAACGAGTCCCCAAGGTCTCTGCTAAAGCCCAAGCCGCACTAGAAGAAACTGCATCTAAAAAACACCAAGCTGATGTCAATGGAGATAGTGTGAGGATACAGCCAAAGAAGGTAAAATCAAACCCACCCACTGGAAGCGCTGCGAGAACAGCATCGAAGAAGAACATCGCAGTGTCGAGATCATCACCTGCATCAAGTCAACAAGCTGTCGTCCATACAGAGGCTGAGGAAGAAGACTCACATAGCGATAATGCGAAAAACGATGATGTTGAACTTGTGGTGACCGAAAATGAAGACGAAAGTGCCGCTGATGAGCTAAGTATGTTCGAAAACCTAGGAAATGATATTATTTTATCAAACACCAACAGAACGATTCATGAAAGACTGGATCTCACCTGTGTATGCTTTCTTTGAACCATTTCCCAAGATTGTCGAGGAGAATGGCCAGCGGGCACATGTCTTTAAGTGCCAGGGCAAGGGTTGCAAAACTACGGTAAGACATTACCTCGACAAAGGTGATGCGCGCTCGACAGGGAACATGTGCAAACATGTTCGATTGTGCTGGGGTGAAGAAGTATTGCGAGCCGCCGATGAGGCCAAGGATGCCAATGAAGTGCGAAAGAAGATTGTGGGCAGTGTACTACGAAATAGGGTCAATAACAGCCTCATTTTAAAGAAAGGGAAAGGGAAAAATAACGTACTCGCATCGTCAGCATACCAAGGCCGAGACAAAGTAAGGTCAATTCTAACTTATCCACGCTGTCCTCTAATGTGTCGTGTACCAGGGCCGAGATTGTTCGCTGGGTATCAGAGAATCTGCGGCCGTTTGAAATCGTGCAGGACAGAGGATTTCAGTCACTTATGAAAACAGGACGACCAGAGTATTACATACCGTCGAAGTCCACAGTCTCGAGGGATGTGCGGCTTGTTTTTGCACGAACTCGACAATGAATTGCTAAAATGATGATGGTTAGTTTAATTAATGTTCAAACGAGGCCAATAATAACAAAACACGTACTAGGAATATGCGGGCAGGCTCAATTTTTCAACTGATGCTTGGACATCACCCAACCACCGTGCCTTCGTTGCAGTATTGGTCCACTTGGAGCATAATGGTGTGCCGCTATGCTTTCCGTTAGATGTGGTTGAAGTACCAAAGGTAGGGAAATCACTCACAGAAAGGATGTTGCTAATCCAGTAACAGTCGCACACTGGGGAGGAGCTAGCGCGGGCATTTGAAGGGATCCTGGAAGAATTCAGAATCCCAGACAAAGTGAGCTAACCATTCCATACAAACAATTGAGACTTACCAATGACGCGAAGGTCCTTTGCATTGCGTGCGACAACACATCTAATAACAACAAAATGATTGACCAGCTCGCTGTGGAGCTTCCGAACTATGGTGGGCGCAGCAGGTCACACTCGATGCTTCCTCCATACTGTGAATCTTGTTGCAAAATCGGTCCTCTGCGAATTTGATGTGAAAAAGGGTGATGGCGGTGAGGGAGACAGCTGGGATGACCAAGAAAGTGATGGTGTCAGCAAGGGAGATGATGAAGGGCTTGCAGGTGACACCAGTGATGCTAGCGAGAACGATAACAATGACGATATTGATGGATTGGTCGATGCTGCTACGATTTTGAATGCAGAGGAGCAATGAGAGTTGCAGAGCAGCGTCCGTCCTGTCAAGGATGCTCTGGCCAAGGTAAGCACTTGACGAGTGAGGAACGAGCTGCTGTTGACCAAATTTGATTAGATATGAAAGTTATCATATAAAATAATACACTCTACCACAAAAATCCTTCCTGCATGGTATGATATTCTGACAGAACTCGAGATGTTGACCCGGATGTTGCCTCGAGACGTTTCGACAAGGTGGAACTCAACATTCGATATGTTGGAGCAAGCGTTGAAGCACCGAGAGGCTGTTGACAGGATAACACAGTGTTGGGACTTGGGGCTGAGAGCATTGGAGCTAACTGACAGAGAGTGGGCAATCCTGGAGCAGTTGCGCGACATTCTGAAGGTGAGTTTGGCCACTGTTGCATTAAGTCAGCATCAACGCTGACAACACATGCAGATTCTCAAGGATACCACCTTGTTTTTCTCACGTTCAACTCCTAATCTCGCCACTGTAATCCCAGCAATGGACCTCATTGACGAGACTGCTTACTACCCACTCAATGAATCGACAACTTCTGCCCTCAATCCATGTTGCTGCTGGTCTCGCTAAAAAAACTCTGAACCGCTATTATGAACTTACTGACAGTTCTGAAGTCTACCGTATTGCAATGAGTACGTTCTTTATTTATTTTCATGCTCGTACTGACTATAATTTGATATAGTACTTCACCCACGTCACAAGCTAGCTTATTTCAAGCGTGCGAACTGGGAACAACAGTGGATCGACACGGCAGAGACACTCGTTCGCAATGCATATGAGCTGTGTCTCAATGCTGACAACAGCGACCCTGGCGAAGATGAGGAGATCGTGGAAAGCACCCGCCCTTGTGATTCAAGTGTCCCAGTGAGTGTGATTAGTTCTCTAACCTCAAGTGCCATAGTGTAGCTAATTTTTAATGAACTAGAATATATTCGACAATATGGCAGCACTTGCACCACCTCAAATCACGGACCTTCGAGACGAACTGGATCAGTACCTCAGCACTGACGTTGAGCATGTCACAGACCCTCTCGCATGGTGGTATGAGCGCCGGACAACATACCCTTGTCTTTCACGGATGGCCTTAGACTACCTTACTATCCCAGGTAAGTATTTTTCTTTGTATATTCAATGGTTGCCGCCTCACGCAGCTTTTAACAGCGACTTCAGTGGATGTCGAACGACTGTTTAGTCGTGGTCGTTTGATACTCTCGCATGTGCGATCACGTCTCAATGCTCAATCCACTCGCGCGCTATTGTGTCTGGGCTTTTGGAGCCGGCTTAATCTGGTCCATACTGAAGATGTGTTGTCTGTTAGTGCACTCGCTGACGTGAAAGGTGACGACGTCGAGATGGATGATGGCTGGGACATGATTGAGTTGTAGTATATTTCATTCATGTTGTATTTACAAGGTTCAAGCAAGCAGACTCGTGGGTATACCCGTCGTGGGTCTTACCCCGGGTGTTCTAACATAACACCCATGAAAAAACCCATACCCACTTGACGGGTGTGGGTATTGTGCCGGGTACGGGTATGGGTGACATCTCTTACACCCGGGGGTTTACCCATGCTCTTGCCTAATCGCAGCATCCTCGTCATGCTGCAGCGCTTCTTGATCTTTCTTCAAGATGTCAAATTCTCTAATCAGCGATTTTGCAACAAGATTAACTGTGTGCAGGAAGCAGCGCGTGTGAGCTGCAGTTCCACCAAAATCCGGAAGGTTCATTTCAAGCTCCTCAAGCATTGCAGTGTTATTGGACGCATTATCGCATGTAACACAGAGAATCTGCATTTTGGTGAGTCGTGTGGAGCTTGCATTATGATTCGGTGCTAACCTTTTCTGTTATACCAAAATCTTCCAGTATACTTTCGAAGGCAGCTGCCAACTCCTCGCCAGTATGGGACTAGTTGTGGTTGGTCAGACCAGTCATTAAACTTTGTGCAGTGAGTACTCGCACTTTTGGGACCTCCACAATGTCTAATGGGATGCATAGTGGGATACCCTTATGTTCCAGATGCATCAACAATGCAACATATGCACGGTGGTTTGGAGACGTCCAGCCGTCAGTCGAAAAGTTGAGTTTGCCATCATATTCCTGGTATGTGTGTTAGTTGCTTCCAGTGTGCATTCAATTAACGTACTCTCGACATTTTAGCTATTTGTTGCCTTGTTTTGGCGAAGACGAGTCTGGCATCCCGTGAGACTGTGGAGGGAGATGGTATGTAGTATTCCGGTCTTCCGGTTTTCATTAGCGACTGAAAGCCCTGGTCCTTGACGATCTCGAATGGCCACAGATTTTTGCTGACCCAACGTACAATCTCGGCTCTGAGCAACACTATATCAGCCTCAAAATCTACATCGAACAATCTCTTACTTTGTCTCAGTCCGTGTATGCTGGCGATGCGAGTAAGTCACTTTGCCTTGACCTTTGCGTTCGAATGCAGTCATAATTGAACCATTTCGCAGGAAGTTCCCAACTATCTTCATACGTGCTTCTTTGGCATTGCTTGCTTCATCTGCTGCCTGCAATACTTCATCTCCCCAGCAAATCCTGATGTGCTTGCGCATATTGCTGGTGGAGCAGGCGTCTTTCTTGTCGAGGAAGTGCCGAATCTTGACTTGGCATCCCTTCGCCATGCACCTGAAACTATGTGCACGTCGATCTCCCTTTGTCTCGATTGTCGGAGTAGGATCAACAAATGCATAAATTGGTGAGGTCCAGTCCTTCATCAACCGCTCTGTGACACTGATGTTTAGCTTGGCGTTTAGTCTTCATACTTGTATGCTTACTGAGTTCATCCTCAGGGGTCTCAGCCTCGTCATCTGTGCTCATCTGTTTATCCTCATCTTCACTGATAACAATGGCCTCGTTTTGCAACTCTTCCGAGTCCTCTGTTTCAGTGTGGACCAGCAGGTTTCCAGGTGCCACAACTGTGTTATGTAATAGTTCCTCATCGTTGGAGTAGACCACTGTGCACCGTCGTTGGGCCACCAGGTCATTAGGTAGTGCCTCTTTAATGTTCTTACCATGATGTTGGGTTGCTTTTATCTTCTTTGGCCGTGTGCTGTCCACACTGGCACTGTCATCATTCTTTCTCTTGTTTGATTTGGCCTCGAGCTTCTCGTCAAGTGCAGCCTTGGCTTTCCCAGTTAGTTTGGTAATCCATTTAGCGGCAGAATGGAAGGGGTTTGGCTGCATGACAGTAGGGTGTGTTCTTGATTTAGAGTTTAGAGTTAGAGTTTGGAGTCAGAGTTTGCATGTATGACTAAAGCATGGTCATGTGGTATGATGTAATGTAGCTCGTTTGGACCCCCAGCTTTTGAAAGCTGGGGGTCCAAATGAGCTACATTACATCATATTACATAATCATACAAATTCTGTTGCCTGTTCTGTTGCCTATTACATGATGTATTGGTAACTCATCAAGGGTGCAATATTTGCAGGAAATCTGAAATTGTGTGAAATTATCCAAAAGTAATAGTTTGCGAGTTTATGCTGTGCTAGAATGTATGCTCATAGTACCATTGTTACACTTCAGAAGACCAAAATTTGATATGCTACCCATGGGTTACCCACTAACCCATGGTAACCCACATAACCCATTGCATGACCCATGGGTTACCCATGCTATTGCCTATTTGCAATACTATTTGGATGTCTTTGGAGTTGGTAAAATATATATCTCCTTACTAAACCCACACCGAGGGTGTGGGTGTGGGTATGGGTATCCGAGGGGCCAACCCCCACCCACACCCACAACATACCCACACCCACAACCCATGTGGGTTTCATATACCCATGCTAATCCCTACCTGCAGGCCATCACTGCACTCAGGCAAAGCTCATTTCATTTAGACAAGAACCAGTGTACCATTGGATGTGCTCTCGAAGATATCACTGACAAGATAGCTGCTCTCAGATTCCCCACCATGCCCACTAGTGCCATGGGGCACCAGGGTTCGTCAGACTCGGTCACCCCATGGGGTGTTGCTAAATTCTGGGAGCCATGTCTATTCAAAGGTAGTGCGACCGAAGTAGACACTTTTGTTGATGAGATACTCAGCGCTGTCGAGCTCTCTCGTTCGTCCTTGCCTACTGACATGGACAGGGCTCTGTATCTTTCCACCTACCTGGACAATGGGTCACCATGCTCGTGGTTCATGGCAATTTGCCGAACCAATGACGACTTACTCCATGACTTTGATTTACTGATCGAAGATTTCAAGCAGCACTTCGGGGACCCCGATACTGAAGGCACTGCTCTCCGCAAGATTGAAAACCTCCGGCAGACCGGCATTTGCACAAATTATGCGTCCAAGTTCTGCGAGCTACTCGTCTATGTCAACTTCAACACTTCGACTACGATTCAAAAATACTATGAAGGTTTGAAGGATGAAGTCAAAGATTTGTTGCTAACCGTTCACAGTCCGCCCACTGACTTCGACGAATACGTCGACCTTACGGTCACCATCGACAATCGCCTTCACCGTTGAGAAGTCGAGCGCAAGACTGCAAAGAAACCAGTACCTCGCCAAATGACTGGCAATGATACCACCACTCAATGCAATACTCAGCCCAGACAATCTACGTCGACCTCACTTCCACCTGGAATCCCAATGGAGATCGACATGACCAAAACGGTACCACGCCAACCTCTCACTAAGGAGGAATGTGACCGGTGTTTTGCCCAGGGTCTCTGCCTGTACTGTGGAGGTGCTGAGCACACCATAAAAAACTGCCCAAATATGTCAGAACGTGCAAAGAAGAAATTTAATGCACGAACTGACTTGGGAAAAGCCTAACCGGCTGCCATCTCGTCCCAGGGCATCCGGTTGCAGATGATGGGACACATCTGAGCCTCCTCACAGCGCCGGATCCCACCTACGTCCATCTCTCGGATGGAAGCTATACCCCGCTCATAAAGTCCGCTCCTGCATATGTTTTCTCCTCTAATTCTTATCTGAATTCACCCTTGCACTTCTTCATTTCCATTCGCCTTTCCTTCCCTAACAAAAAATTTATTGATACTTTCACACTTGTTGACTGTGGCGCCACCACATCTTGTATCTCTGATCGTTTTGCTACCCGTCACTCTCTTCCTCGTCGTGTCAAGGACACACCTATACCTATTATGGCGGTTGACGACCGTCCAATCGCATCTGGGCTGATCACCCACGACGTCATCACTCACCTCTCTGTCTCTGATCATCACAAGACACGACCGCGAGCGGTCGTGTCTGTTGCTTACCCTATTATCTTAGGCTTTGACTGGCTACGCCAGCACAATCCTGACATTGATTGGGAAGAGTCTACACTCTCCCTCGATTGTTGTGGACTCTCTCGCAAGCACCCAATCACTGTCAAGGCAAAGGGCTTTGGTCCTGCGCCACCATCACCTCCTTTGACACTCAACTCCTCGACCACCATTGGGCTAGGCCTTGGTCTACCTAACGCCACCTCTTACCTGTCTCGCGTGTTTGCAGCGCCTCATCTGTCATCCTCGAAGGTACCCAAGACTGATCCGGACCCCAGTCCGGGTAGACCCACATCCTCGTTCCTCTCTGCCCTTGTCTCTCAGAATGGCTATGGTCACTCTGTTCCTCCTAGCTTGTCCCCTCCAGCACCCCGCATCGGTTTCGTATCCGTGAAGAAATTCACACGAACAGCTCGCTCCAATCCCGACGAGGCTTGCCTCCTCCACTACCACCATCTGCACTCCCCTGTCTACATTCATGCCACCACATCATCGTTGATTGAGACTGTTGACGACGAAGTCCCCATAACTCCCCTTGTCGACGACGAGATCCTCAAGGCTATCCCTCCCAAATACTCGGATTACTCCTCCACAGTCTTCTCCCCCTCCAAATTTGACAAACTACCCCCACATTGAGCATACAATGTCAACAT